CGGCGTGGGCGTTCAATGACACAACAACGTTCCTCCTTGAGAGTATCCCACGTTCACTTGGTCACAAAGAAGCTGGGTCGAGCATGTACGAGTCGTAGAGGCGCGACGACACAACCGATTCCTAAATTCGCTCCTTGTGAAAAGGTGATTGTGTAGCGGCGGCGGCGGCGGCGGCGGCGGCGGCGGCGGCAACGGCGGCGGCGGCGGTCGCACAACTTTCTCGCTGCCGGAATCGTAAACGCGGAAGAAGTCGGAAAGTACTCGGGTCGGCTGTACCGCTGAAGCATCGGTTAGTACACACAGGATCGCTGCACCGCGAGGATCGTGTCCTCGAGCCGTCCCACGTAGCGCACCACCGGTCAACCGGTGAGTTGTCAACCACTCCCCAGGAATCTCCGTCGAGACCTCGTGCGACCGTGGTTCGTCGCGTCGCCGAATTGTCTCACTGCGACACGCGAATTCATTGAGACTTTTGTACCCGGCTCCTACGTTCGTCGTGGTGAACAGCGGAACTGTTCGAAAAAGACAGCTTGCCGCGACTGACTTCGGGTTGTTGTCACCCACCTTTGGGCACTTTGGTAACTTTGGGGGTTGATTGACTCGTCGTTGCCTCTTGACACCATCCGGTTTAACGAACGAGTTTTCCTTTAGTTTATAATGTGTTTTTCCCCCTCCTTTCTCTCCCCCTTCGGGCCCCCTCTCTCTCTCTCTCTCCCCCTCTGTCTCTCTCATTTTGCCTCTCCCTGTATCTTCAGAAATTGAATAACGCGATACTCGGTAGTGTCAATGTGGAATTTTGTTTATGATTAGTCGGCGACAAATATTTACGATTCCTACGGATTTTATGACTTTTTAGAGAACTATAAACTTGGCGAAAACCGGCTTGTCAAAGCGCTCGTTTTCCCTCCGATGATCACATTTGTCGATTAAGTCGACCTTATCTTCAAGTTTTAGCAGCTCGCGCGGTGTTACGCGCGTAAGAAAGAGAGGGAAGATGAGGATAGAGATAAAGTCATCAACCGACTCGTCGGATCAATCAGTTATTCTCGTACAACGAGTCTCGTTCTGAACAGAGAGGAGATGTTTGACGCAAAGGTGTAGTTGCATGCCAATACGTACTTTGATACAAAGTATAACTAGTTTGTTCTAACGGGCTCGCAAAAGTTTCGCTAGTCGGAGGTAATCAAGAAGAACGAGTTTATGCGCTATGCACGGAAATAAATCCAGGCGGAGGCGATGGTTTACACGCCTTTGCGTGTAAACACGCGGCTGCAAACACGTGCAGACATCCAATTCCAGACGCATCTCGATATTCGAATATCGAAGAGAGAAGACTGTGGATCGGGATCGGAGCGATTCATGGTGAGCGATTAATTATCGGATCAAGGTAGGCGCCGATATAAAAAACAACGCGGAAACATGTGCCGAGTACGATGAAAGATAATAATGGTTTCGATATGGAGGAGGGGAGGGGTTGAACATATTGTATACTCCGTGTCTCTTCATCTTATGACTCATTTTACTCACAGATAAAATCTCACGGGGGAAAAGAGCGGTGCGTGTCGCTTTCGAGAAAATACAAAACCGCGCACCAACTCGACTTTCCAATAATGAGCTGGGTTGGGAAAGTTACTTTGTAAAAGCATCTAGTTACAGTCTGTAGTCTTTTCATTGAAAAAGTAATTAGTTACAGTTTTACAGAATTACCTACAGAAATAATATGTCACAGTTATAGTTATTTAGAAAGTAACGATTCGTTACTTTTCAGTTACATTGTCTACAATAACTGTGCTATTATTTTTAAATTTCCTAGTTGTGTGCAAATTCCTTGAATTTATAAAATATAAAATGGCAGTATGTCGATTGTTATATATTCCTTATATTGTGTATATAATTTTTACAGATTGGATTCATTAATTAATAAATCGGCAATTTATATTTATTCTTTAAGACTTATCAATAACAACTGTAAGAAAGTGTAAATTTGATGAGGATAACAAGTACTAAAGATACTAGAGCTTATAGAAAGTTAAAAATCAGCCAGCTCCGAAGGCTGGAGGATGCATTCCCCGTGAGATCGGCACGCTTTTATACACGCCCGCGTGCAATCGCACATTGACACAGGCGCCGCCTGCACGGGCGTGCAGGCACCGATGCAACGCGTGCGTTGCGATTGAGAGTTGAAAATCTTTCAAGGTTGAGAGAAAAGAAAGGAGAGGAGAGGAGCAAGAGCCGGCTTTCGTCGTTACTTTCGCGAAGGAATGGGGATCGAGGACGTTCGTTGCGTCACAAACGAGTTAACGCGGTTCCCAAAAAGGAGGACTCACTTATCGAGCGCGATTTATCATGCTTTCGGAGAAAGCCGGCCTCGTGAAAATTTTCAAGCGTCTTTCCCGCGTGAACGTGAAAGTCATTATTTATACGTATTTATACGTATTTATACGTATTTATACGTATGTCTGAAAGCTGGCCGCGTCGCGCGCTCCTTCCTCGGCGCGATGCCCATTTCCCTTTCCGATTTCAATTTTATTCCTCTTCGTTACGAATGAGCAGAAAGAAAATTCGCAGAAATTCGCAGAAGAAACTATTGTGCGCGCATCAGCGAGAAGCGAATATACGAGTATACACCTATAAAAGTAGCGATACACTCTATAACGCGATATTTCTTAGATTAGCAGCGCGGTGTGTGTTAGCAACGTTGTTTAATGGCCTACGCGCTACTTTCAGTTCGCTACAATGTGCATTCTTCGGTCGTCGGTTTCGTGAACGAAAGCGACGATAGCGTGCGTATAATAAAGGGAATAGTGGCGCAAGAACAAATAATTTCGTCGAGCTCTGAGCAAAGGCGAAACTCGACTAGCTCGAATGGCTGTGAAGTACGCCGCGCTCGTACTTTTCTTTTTTTTTTTTCTTCTTCTTCTTGACAGGAACGTGAGAAATATATTATTATTACAGAAATGCTTAATGACGAGTGACGAAAGTGAAAAAAGGGAGCGCCGGTGTAACCTGTACTTAGATTACATCAGCAGTCGTCGTTGGTAGTGGCAGGTTCGAATTATTATGATCTATATAAAGCATACGCTGACACGTGTATCGTAATAAAGCCAGACAGCCCCACACCGTTCACGCATCTGCGCGATTTGTCCGTTCGCTTTCCGCCTCTGACCTTTGCCATCTGCTGATAGACCGCGAGTTATATAAATCCTCCGTCGATCTCCTTTTGTCCGTCGTCTATTTTCCGCGGGATTCGCGGGATTCGCCGCGGGATGCGCGCGAGTCATAATAATCGCGATCTGTTGATCCGCGCGGGCTGAAGAACGGATCCTTGTCCCGAGCGTGCGTGCGAGCGCTCACCAGAGCGCACACTGTGCGCGTGCATAAGATCGCGCGTTACCGTACGTGAAGCAAAGTACGTAACGCAGCCGTTAGTGAAAGCGCCGGCGGACTGTAAATGCAACAGGGTGACCCTGACACATTTCGCAACACACACGCTGCTGCGCCTCTAGTCATCATTTCTCAGATGCAACTTGTATCAGAGGTTGCACCGTATCCGTTTTCTTCCGGTCGAGTAATACGCGTTCTTCTTCTTCTTCTTCTTCTTCATTTCCATTTTCGCCTCATCTCTCTTTCTCTCTGCCTTCCTTTCTCTGTGTTTGTGCGTTTTGCAACTTTGCGACATATTCGGTGAAAACGCCACCGTGTTGCCGCAACAGTGCTGCCGCAACAATGTTGCCGATTCGAAACTCGTTGTTGCTCTGTAGCAATTTCCGTTGTTCCGCATACCGCTCCACTCAGTCACGAGACACAGTCAGCGGACGGATGCGTGCACATGGCACGCAATTACGTATGATAATAAATAATGATAATAATATGATAATTACGGATGATAATAAAGGTGATATGATAATGCCGTAGTCGCTCAGAGGTACTAATCACTATAATGAATTTCTACCTCCTCTGCACTTTTCGTGTGACGGAAATTGATCATTTTGCATTCGCAAATTACCGCGTTCCGCGAGCCAACGATAATAAAATACCGCGCTGGTATTCTCCGCAGCTCTTCGCAGCTTCCGAGAGACCGACCGGACTGGAAATTGACATTGGGAACTTGACATTCCTTCAAGTAGCGCTTGAACGCTTAATCGAATGTGGACTTCGTCGCTCATTTATCATGTACATTACTTACTCATTATTACATTATCGTCCAAAACGAGATATCCATCAATTGAAAATTACTTCTGTTACGCGATAAGGCGATCAAGGTGAAACATCTCGTTTCACCAATGAACGCCGAGCAAAGCCAGCAAGCAGTTTGTGCAACAGCTAAACGTGCGTTGCGTAAAGCGTTATACTCACGTAAGAAACTGCATAACGAAATAGAACATAGAGTGCAACGACAGCAAATTAACGAAGGCCAGATTGTGCCGACCGGACGATTTCTTTCGCTCATTAACTCACGACCGAACAGGGTGCGATGCCATCCCGTCGTTGCGACGGCGATGAAATCGCTGAAACGACCTCGACGTTCACCGACGTGCTCGATGCTGCTGCGAGCAGCAACATTCGCCTCGATACCCCGAGGCATGTTAGCCATGCGAAATTTCAATTGGCAATCGGCTCGACTTTGCGAAAAGGTGAGGTAAGGTGAGGGAAGCGTAGAGCCGTACACGAGTCTCGTGTACGGTAGGTAGGTAGGTAGGTTCAACAAGGTGGCTCGTATGGCAGTTGCATCGTCACTGCGGCACATCGGCGGCGGCGCCGCGAGTCACAACCGCGAACTACGCTCGCGATAAACAGCACTGACTAATAAACCCGCAGTGAGTTGACAGTGCGCGCGTACATCGAGCTCTCCTCGCTCCCGAGAAGATTCCTTCGAACAGGAACGAACAAGACAAGGGATCTTCGTAAACGAGATCGCGACGCGCGCGCGGCGCGAGACGGAGGATCGTGTCTTTACCGTTCTCGAACGAGAGGCCGGCCCGCAGTCCTCGTGTGTGAGTCGCCACGTCGTGCTATGTGTTGCAATTCGATTGTTGAGAACCGTGTCGCATGCCGTGTCGTGCTGCTGATTATGTGACGCGTGTGCGCGCGATGTCGCAATTTTTGTGTGTATAACGTCGGAGAACGCGTCGTTGGTGTGGCTGTCACTGTCCAGCCAGTCGGGAGAAACTTCTTCAAAGGAGCGCGATTAAGCGAGGAGACGTTTGTCATGCGTGCTATTTTTTTCTATTCAGCGATAAAATATATAATATCGTGGCCGTCTCCGTCGGCATCCGCAGACTCACCTGTTACGTAATGCCGCTCTTTACGCACGTCTCGAGAAGAAGGATGTGAATACGCGCGCGTACGGCTTTCGCGCGAGGTATTCCGCGGGAAATATTTCGACGTACGGGAAGATCTTCCGGTGAAACGGTGATGGAGCAAGATCACAATTTAACGGTGCGTGGCGCGTGTGTCTAATCGCGATTCCGGCGCACCGTTATCGCAAGTATTAGAACGTATGCAAGACACTGCAGCACGGGAGCAAGGTGCTAAACGGAAATTGTAAAAGCGCCAGCAACAGCGTGACATTAAGCCGAGGGGCGGGGGGGGGGGGGAGGACGACGTCGCTTATCGCCTCGCGATGTCCTTGTCGAAAGCAATGCGGTTATCTTATTGCTCGGACTAGTCGTTTCTTCGCGACACAATCTGCGATATTTTTTAAACTTTTCCCAGCCAGACCTTGGAAAGAATAGCGGAAAAATGAACGTCAATTGAGTTTCCATTTCAAATTAATATTAATGACGCGTGATTAATAAATACAACACGCGGCAGTTTATTAATCTTATTAATAGCGCAGCGATAAATCATAATCGTTGACATAGAACACTTCTGTATCTGCTGAACCGCTTCGTTGGAGACAATCTTAACCGTTTGAGTCCCAAGCAGCGCGATCGCGCTGTTCAGATTTTATGTCGAGAAAACCCAGTAGATTTCGATCATTGTGGACAACTGACGGTGCGTTACCGATTGTCGAAGTCGCGCGCTCAGATTTACTGAAGCAAGTGTATCACACCGATCCTTTTAATGTAAATAGTACATTTTATAATAGGTAGAATAATACTATAACAATGCAATAATACATTACAAAATAAAAATTTTTATTTCATTGTTATCTTCTCAATAATTTTTATCGAAACAAAACTTGAAATATTTATAAATTTACAGTACGCATATGTAATAATACAGATGTATTTTATAAAATAACGAATTACAAATTAACAATATTTTTGTGTTATGAACAAATAATTTAAATGGAGAGTAACAATTATAATTTGTAACATCGGTGTTTATCAAAACATGTTGGATGGATTCCTTTTGCTTCGTTGCTCCGTTGCTTCGTCTAATCATTTTGAGACACACAATTATTAAGAATGAGAAACACTTACGCAAGAATACGTCCGATCGCTTTGCAAACTACAACTAAATGTGACAGAGCGATGAGAAAAAGACGAGAATCGCGTTACCTAACAAATACAAGAAGCGGTATTGGTCCGATTGGGATTCATCGATGTAAAATAAACAAAGCGCTATCGCGCTGCTTGGTATTTCTCGACCTAAAATAAAACAAGCGCTATCGCGCTGCTTGGGTCTTTTCATACTCATTTATAGAAAGCGCGGTTGCGCTGTTTGGGATTCTTCGACAGTGTTTTTTCAATACCCCCTGGGACTCAAACGGTTAAGTACAAAGTATCTGACACGGCGTAGTTTATATTAAACTAAATAAATTGTACAAATATCTGCGAGTCAGCGGAGATAATCTACGTACTAATATGCGCCTTAAACATCAGAGAGAATATTTGCGTCGCCTCGTCTCACGCGCTCTCGATCATGCGCTGATTATACGGTACGATACGATAAGTGTCGCTGGTGAGAAATAAAGAGAACATCGCTCTTTTTGCATTAATATGTTGTAGCAAGCAGTTGAGACGTATCTCGCTGCTGATCGGACGATTCGGTCACAAATTACACACTCCGTAACGTCTGAAGTCTACACTTTTTCTAAAGCAGTTCCGACCAAGACCACATTTTGCATTCTGGAATAATTTTCCTTTCATAATGATTCATGCGGCGATATTCTTTCGACTGAGACGAGCGAGTCTCTCAAGATAAATACGTTGTCATAATTGTCGAATGTATTCAAACACGTGTCAAGATCGCACTGACACACACACACGTACGCTCACGTTTCTGTATGCACGTATCGGGTGAGTAAGTGTCAGTAGGTAGAAGGAGTGTACTTATCTGATAAAACCAGAAGCTTACAGCGAGCCGATTGCTGTATTAGCGACGCCGCGACTCACGACTCACGAATACGCGTTTCGCCGCAATTACCGCGACAACCGAACGCGCTGATCGCGAAACGGGCTGAAGCGTGTATATTCCGTAAATCCTTAAATCCGTATACCTTAAATGAAGTAGGCCAGCATCCGCTTGTGTTATCATGCCGCAGGAGGAGAAGAAGAAAACGAGCAACAACACTGCCGAGCCGAGAGAATCGGAGAATCGGCAAAATCTCGACAAGCAGCAGGCTGATGCTGCTGCTGCTGCTGCTGCGAAGAAGAAGAAGAAGAAGAAGAAGGAGGAGGAGGATCTGAAGCTTCGCCAGAGTTCCAGCGACATGCCGGAGCTTAAGGATGATCACGGGTTGCAGGAGGACGAGACAATCAGTCTGGACCTGAGCGAACCCCCGCCGGAAGTCATGGAGTACGCGAGGAGGGAAGTTGGGGAAACCGATGAGGTCAAGTGTCAGACACTTCAGGAGTTTCGCGACATGATTTATGGTAACTCGAGTTGAAACGAGTCAAAAATAGAAGAGATGTCGACGTTGCGAGTTTGAATGAAAGACAGACGGCGGCCACGCCGACAAAGACGAGTGATTTGAAAAATTCGCGAGTCGATTAACGTAACGAGCAACGAAAAGTATCCGATAGCTAGAACAATGCCCGTTTCCGAGATTACGGTCGCGTCAAATTTGCCTTCATTGTCACTTGCATAAAACATCCAAAAATCTCTCTCTTTCTCTCTCTCTCTCTCTCTCTCTCTCTCTCTCTCTCTCTCTCTCTCTCTCTCTGTTTCGATACGTGACAAAAAAATCGGCAGAATCGGTAACGTTCCGCGGTTAATGTCTATTTCTATATTATTCAGCTTTGACGAATATGTGATTGATGTGTTTTCCGACAGAAAAAGGCGAATGTCTGCCGCACAGGATGGAAGACGATTTTCTCCTGAGATTCCTTCGTGCCAGAAACTTCAATTTGAGAGCCGCGCACAGACTGGTGAGTCACGCGTGTTAACATTGACATTAATATTAAAATAACAAGTTTTGTGCGTAACACAGCACAAGTTGCACTTGGGCACGAGTATCTCCTCGCATGTTTCTCTTTTATTTTTTTTTCCTTTTGGTGAATATTTAACTTGAGCAGCACACATATGTTATTTTAAATGTGCATTTAACCGCGACGATAATCTTTATCTTATCTATTTGCAAACGCTCAAGTTTGCACGTGACAATCAGTACAAGTCATAATGTCACAAGAAAAAATATTTATCGATTTATATTGCCAAAAGTAATTGGACAATAATAATTGAAATGTAAGAATTGAAAGTAATTGAAATTGACGATGTTTATAAAATCTGGAACGACACGTTATTGGCTGTGATTATCTACTTTCGACCAATCAATTTAAAGTCCAATCTAACGCAAGACGAACCTGATCGTTGCACAATGATGTCGAGGTAACTGTCGGTCCAACTTTTCAATAAGGCTCGGAATGTGAGCTCGGATGCAGAGCGCTTGTACGTGTAAATGAAATTATTTGCAAACTTATGAGTCTGAAAGTATCCGCTTAGCGGTTACAGCACTTTTAAATATATATGATCCTTGTGCAACATATATCATTATCCACGTCTAACCGCGAAACTGTTAACCTTTGATGTAATTGGTATTTATTCCAACGTGTCCTCTTCCTGCCTTCTCTCTTAAGCAACGCGACGTGTGCGAACGATCGCGCTGCAATCGCGATTTACTTATTATTATACCTCTTTGCATGCGTGTACAATTGCAAAGAGTTAAAATAATATTCTAACCCCCGGCGATATATCGGTTTCAAGATGATTCGTTCGGGCCAATGGCCCACATCATACAGTATATTACATATACATCAGCGGACAAACGAACGATTCATAAATCCGATCGCAGACACGTCTTATAAATAATGGATGGACTATATGATTCACATCGGCTTTGCTTAGCAATCGCGGAGTCGGTCGTAACGACGCGCTAATGAACGTACGTTACGCTCGCGCCAAATGCCGCGCGCGCGCGCGCGCGCGCTCGCTCGGGATTAATCGCGGGAATTCATGACGCTCGACTTTCATGACGCTCGAGTCGACCGAGCAGAACGCGATCCGATCGAGATTCTCGGTTGATTTCTCTCATGGGATCTTTCGATAGATAGTGAATTACTACAACTTCAAAGAGAACCACCCGGAGATACATCAGAATATGAGTATGAAGGAGATGAAGTACATAGGCGACGACGACGTCATCACGGTACCGATCTACAGGACTCAGTGCAGAAGACGCATGCTTATTTACCGCATGGGCAATTGGGACCCGCGCAAATATCCCGTCGAGGATGTCTTCAAGGCCACGGTCATCTTGCTCGAGCTGGGCGTCCTCGAGCCGATCGCGCAGATTATGGGCGGTATTGTGATTTTCGATCTCAAGGACATCACTATGGCGCACGCGTGGGCCGTGACGCCTCAGGTACCATTGTACAAGGACGTACTTTCTCCCCCTCCCCCCTGTAATTTTGGCCCCCGAAACAGCGAAAAAGAAACTGACGCGAGAGAGCGAGAGAGTGGATCTCATGCCTCTAGAAATTGTGTCGCATGCTCTTCCCATGGAAATTACAATTTTCATTCATATACTATACAATTGTGCCCCCCCGCCCCGGGCCTCATTACCACCCCGCTTTTACCACCGAGACTTATTCGCGTGGGAACTCGCGACGCGATGAATGCGAAAGTGAAAGGGGAAAGGACAAGCGCGTGTCGCGCGACAATACAACTCGCGACGGTACAACGGGACGCTGATGATCTTCCAGGTGGCGAGCATGATGCTAGCTCTGATGGTGACCTCGTTCCCCATCAAGACACACGCGATACACATTCTGCACCAGTCGTGGATCTTTGACGCGATCTTCGTGGTCTTCAAGCCGCTGCTCGACACCAACATGCGTAACAGGATACATTTCCACGGCAACAACTACGAGAGTCTCCACAAATACATCTCGCCCGAGTACCTGCCAAAGAGATACGGCGGCACGAGGGACGAGATCCCCTACTACAAGTGGATCGAATCCTTGGTGAAGGATACGAAGATCGTCGAGGAGATGAGCAAGGTGGGCTACGTCGACACGAATGAGGTTCTCGAGTGCTTCAACATCGTCAAGTGACGTCAGCCCCCTCCCCCCGCCCCCCCCGCTCGGTACTGGGTTGTTCGAGGGTAAGAGGGGTATCCAGGTTTTTTCGCAGGAAATTTCATATAATCGCGTAATTATTACGCAGAAACGCGCGCGCGCGAGATATTGATCGTCCGGATCCGGCGAGCGCGACGACGACGACGACGACGACGACGATGGTGTCGACGCGTGTCCGTACAATCGATATCTCGTAATTCCGTAATCTTTCGCACGCCATCACGATGACTATTAACCCGCATATTTTTATTACCGCTTTGCCGACGTTCGCGCGTTTCTGCAATGTGTCTGTATCATATGTTAACGAACAACGGACACGTTGTTTGTAAAACGACGCCGAATCGTCACGAATGTTTATAAATGCTGTCAATAAATGAAGAAACGACACATATCTTGCGCAATATCTGCTACATTATATTTCGCCGTGGATTACCTCGCGCGATATCCCGATACATAATCGTATAATCGTGTCATTTTCACTCTTACGAACGCGTCTAACGCGATTAAGCGTTATAAGTATGCGTTGCGTTTCCGCACACGCACACACACACACACACACACACACGTACTCTCCTACCTGATAAGTCTGATGCTGTTCTGCGCCTCTATGCCGAGAGAACCGAGTCACTCCATCGAGCTGGACCGATTTCCTTCCCGTAATTCATCAAACGTCGCCGGCTGACTATCGGGAAGCGATCCATCCAACGTTCGTTGCTTCGCGCGAGACAGTTTAGGCGCGTGCACTATCGATTCGAGTCGTGAATCGGACACACCAGATTTCTTTCTTTTTCTAACGCAAACGTAATAAAACGCGCGGAAAAGAATCAGGAGCCGCGACTCTCTTGGGAATTGATCGGCAGAATTTACGCTCCCGGCAAAAAACCGCAACGACCGCGAGACGACAGCTCGCGATAACGACGTCTCGGGGGCAAAATAAGAACAACGCGGGCTCCGCTCCGTTAATAAACGAGTCATTATGCAAAAAATAGGAGGGGGAAGAAGAAGAAGAAGGATAAAGACGCAAAGCGAAACGGTGACTCGGCTGCGGAGAGACGGAGGAAGATCAACTTATTAAGAACAAATATGGAGGATTTGAAGCGAATCGCTCTGAATCGTGGTTTTCTCGAATCAATATCGAGAAAGTTAATCGGGAAACGAACACAATTACACATTTACTCACTCTGTTGCCAAAGTTCGAGTATCAATTAAACACACACATACAGTGCAACTTTTACGACAAGAAGTAACCAGATAACAAAACTCGATAAATCGCAAAGTCTTTGGCGAGAAATGTATAAGCGCGTTTCGTTTTTGACGCTTGGTCAAAGAATATTCTCTCGAGAAGCGAATTTTTCTAAAGTAAAAATACAAATTCTTCGTGAGACAACATTAACCCTTTCATTGTCAATGGGAGATATACTTCCCACCTTCTCTCGATTCAATTCTGCGTTGTAAATCACATAATTTTCGAAGAACAACTAATCGGGGATTAGAATTTCCCAGATAACTGAATAGTTGTTCAACATGCTCCAATAGGTTTTTACACCCAATTATTCATTTATGATTATTTATAACAAATCAAAGTTGAAAAAAAATGCTTTTCTCAGGGAAGAGTCGATTCCTCGGAGAGCATCGAGTGTAGATAGAGAGAGAGAGTAATGAAATGTTCACCAAATATTCTTCTGATGTTGTACAAAAACATATATTCTTTTCAATATTTTTTACTCAGGTTAGATTCTTTTCTTATAAACGAATATTTCTACAAAAGACGGCCGAAATTTGATTTTTTTGCACCTTTTAGCTCTATTTTCCTAGTTTTTTCATTCTGTATCTCCATGTTATCCATGCGTATCAATATTATTCTACTCAAAAGATTCGTAATCAGCGATTCGAGAAACCCATATGTCATTAATAATAAGCGGAATTTTTATCAATTTCGTTTACATTATGATCGCCATGTTGAATCCGCCATTTTGAATTTTGCAAATCTGACTTTAGATCCGTAAACAGCGAGCCAAAAAACGTAGGACTAGCAAATATTTCAATAATTTTCTCAGCGGAAGTTAATTCAGCAGTGAAAGGGTTAAGAGAGACATTAATTACTCGCGATTTATCGATACCTAATCTAACCTAACCTAACCTAACGAGAACGTCTCCACGCTGGAGCGGACCGGAATTCCATGCCTCCAATCTCGATCTCTCTGATATCGGCGATCGCGCGAGAAAACGCGCACGCGTTCCGTGCGATTGCAAGAGAGCCGTCACGCACGTGACGTCAGAAACACCCGCAATTCCAGCTGACATTGATTTCATCGGGAGCGGCGATCATCTCGACGCACATCGTGCGATCGTGCGTACGAGCGTTCGCCGAAGGCGAGCATCGCCGAACAATGTTGGATTGTTAGCGTTGAAAACAGTCCGGATCGGCCAAGCGCGGGAGCGAGCGCGGCCAAATGAGTGCCGGAGAACGGCCGGATTCATTGCGCGAGTCCATTGTGCCTGGCCTAAAACAAGAGCGCGTCATTCGCTCGGGGGATGAGCTCGAGATGGTGGAATCAGGAAGGTGAATTCGCGCTGGGTGCAGCTAGGTCGCGATAGGTACGTAAGTAGAATCGTAAAGGAGGCGCAGGTAGAGCCTGGCGTTCTACTGCTCTGGGCTCTGTGGTGGTTGATATCGACCCGGGTCGGAGGGTCGCGTAGCAGTCAGGATCGCAAGGCGCACGCTTGGACATGGTGGAGGCTTGGAGGAGGAGGAGGAGGAGGAGGAGGAGGAGGTGGCGGGATAGGGTGCGCAGGGGAGCGAAACAGACAGGGAGAGAGACGCGGCGAGAGGGTGATGACGAGACTAGCGGGTCGACCTCCGCTGGTCGCAGAGGAGAGAAGAGAGACTTCCACCGGCGGTAGTAGCAACCCGGCTAGTACACCCCGCGCGCGCGCGCGCGCGCGCTGCTGCAGGTGTTGCATCCCGAGAGAAAAGCCCATCCCGGTGTGAGTGTGAGTGCGTGAGTGCCCTCCTCCTCCCCCCGAGTCTCCCACAGTCCCCTTCGCTTGACAGTTGGAGTGCGTGCGAGGTAGAGAATCACGTCCTTCGACGCCACCAGCAACGCGACATTCCGTTGCCACGTTGCCCGTCCCGGTGTTCGCCCGCGGTGTTCGCATCGACTCCCTCGAGGGACTCCGGGCGAGGGTGAGAGAGAGAGAGAGAGAGAGAGGGAGAGAGGGAGAGAGGGGAGAGAGAGAGAGAGAGAGAGAGAGAGACCCGACCTCGCCCACCGTCGGCTCGTCAGCACCAGCTGGAACATCTTCCGACTGTGTGTCACGGCGCTCCATGTGCATCCTCTGCGAGGAGGAGGAGGGAGGAGGTGGTGGTAGCTGTGACCGGGCCCGGTCGGTCGGCCTCGTAGAGAAGGTGTACGCGGCGGAGAAGAAGATGCGGTGGTAGATTGTAAACGGCAAGGCAAGTCAAGGAAGAGAAAAAGGAAGAAAAATGTGCGGAGACGGTGCGCGTTTAGAGGACGATGAGGACCGTTACACCGGCGTGATGCCGCAACGGCCAGACACCTGCAACGAGGACTCCTACCTGAGATCGGGCAGGCCGTCTAGTTTATTCCGGACAAGTTTCAGCTGTGCACGACTCGAGACGCTCTACCGTGCCTCCTCGCTCCAACAACGTCGCGGCGGCCTCCAGTGCTTCCTGATGTCGGCGATTCTCTACGCCGTCTACACGGTGGCGTCTCCCGACCCGGGGTTACCGTCGCGCAGCATCACCGCGGTGTTCCTCGGCCTGAACCTCGGCCTGCTTGCCTGGGCCAAGCACGGCGCGAGGAAGAAGGACACGCAGTCAGCGTGGACGTGGAAGGCGGTGCCGTACTTCGTGTGGCAGCTGTGCACCGCGGAGCTGCTCCTTCAGCTGTTCGTCAAGAACACCGACATCACGCCGAGAGACGGCCTAGGCTGGCTGCTGCTGTTCCTCTACCTGCTGTTCGCCACTCTACCACTCAGGCTGTCCCACTGCGTGTTGCTCGCGTGCGTCACCGCGCTCACGTATATCTTCGTCGTAGTCTGCCTCTCCAAGAGACCGGATCAGATACCCTACGATATTCTGGTAGGTAACGCGCGATCTTAGTCTCAGTAGTCCCGAGAGTGAACCTTCTTCTCTCTCGGGTCTCGCACGGCGGGAAGTCGTGCCACGTCGTCGAGTCGGCCGGTCCACGACGGAGGGTTGCCGCACCGCGCCGGATCCTCTCCCCCGCTCTCGAGGGCGATTCAATGGCGAGAGTGTCGAGCTTGTTGAGCAACGAGATTCGCCGCGCGAGATCGCTATCGCAGAATTCTATCGAAACTAGGCCGATGCTTTCTCTCTCTCTCTCTCGCTCTCTCTTCTCTTTTCTCTCTCTCTCTCTCTCTCTCTCTCTCTCTCTCTCTCTCTCTCTCTCTCTCTCTCTCTCTCTCTCTCTCTCTCTCTCTCCATGTGGACGAAGGTTCCTCCGGTTGACACACTCTTGCCCTTCGACGTTTAATCGACGCGCGCGAATAATTGGTCCTGCGAGAGCACTCGCGTAATCCTCGCGCCGCCTCGCGTGACCTCTTTCCATTTATAGCACCCTACGGAGCAATTAAAAATAACTCGAATACTCATATACACTGCGTTCTATATTTAATAAGTCAGACCCTTCGGTCGCGCGCCTAAAAGCGGTAATAATGAGTTTAGAACGCGCAAGTACGCGCGCTACATCGAGGAGGATGTGAGCTCCTTTCGGGGGAAGAAAACAACACTGGACGTCAGAAGGAGAGACGGCTCTCTCTCTCTCTCTCTCTCTCTCTCTCTCTCTCTCTCTCTCTCTCTCTCTCTCTCTCTCTAAGTATCTCTTGCAACGAGCGACTTCCTCAACGAGATCTCCGCGCGGCTGACGCACGAGCACAATCGCTCGCGAGCGCGCGCGCGCGCGCGCGTGTGACTTGAAAAAATAACAGTACGCTTGGCGCGTAGTATTAATTGCTCGAACAAGAGGTGAAGCACTTTCCGATACGCGCGGAGGGTAGAAATAACGGCGCGTTGTCGACGTCGACTTCGCGACAAACTGATTCATCAGTCAGCTGATGCAGACCGGCGCATGCAACAAAAAATCGATCCAAGTTCAACGAGGCGTAACGCCGCTACTTTTACGAATACGCAATAGTGTTCGGCGTAAAAGGAAGAAAAGAAATAAGGAAAAGAAACATTCAACGACTCGTTGGTGCGTCGGCGTCGTTCAACAGCATTATCCTTTCGCGCAGTCGACGGTCGACTGCTCGTAAACAACCGCTCGTACTGCGTCGTCAGACGCGCGCGCGGTCGCATCGCTTAGCCAACGAATTGGACGCGCGCGCAAACATCTCGGCGGATTTGTGTTTCATGAAAAAGGAAAGTGCGGCCGTAAAACGCGCGTAGGCCGCGTAATGCGCACGGGCGCGACCTATTTAACGACTTACTGTTACATTAATTGCAAATTATACTGTTTTCGATAATAACTCTTGACCTTCGACGAGATGCACTTTGACCTCATGACCGATGCGAGCTACGGTGCATTTATCGCGTCAATAAATCATCCCAGACATCCCATAAATGCTGTTGAAATTCTCCGTTAGCCGCGACTTTTTGTCGTCACCGTTCGCTGACTCGCGATAATCGCGATTTCAACCATCCATCCGCATTTACGAAGAGAGAATGCTTCTTTTTGCGCAACGATGCATTGCGATTATCAATGACGATCAACGCGATCGCTGCGATCACATTCACCTTGTACGCCGATCGTGTATCGGCTTTAAATTAAACTAAGAGACATCGACTTATCGATCGATTTATGCTCGATCGACGACAGTGCGATTGACCGGCAAAACTGAATCGCCAATTTGCGAAAGCAACTGCGAAAATTTATGCATATTGCATCGTGCATCGAGGTAGACTCGGCCTTATCGATCTCGGTACGCAATGTAACATCACCGCTGAAGCAATAATAGCGTCCGCGTCGCCAGGAAAGTTGAAGTTGTATGTCGCTAGCTAGCTACCTTTGTTTCGCGGCGCTTGGCACTTGAATAAACCGAGCGACCGAGCCGCACTTTCTGCGTCCCTCATTGCGCGTATTTCGCGTATTTCGCGTATTTTGCGAGTGTGGTGCGTCGCATGAGAGAGGCGGATTTCGGAAAGAGCGTCTCGAGACGGCGCCACCTTTGTCCGGGGAATTCACTGAATCGCGAGAGTATTTCGATGAAAAGAGAGAATCCTTACGCATAACGGTTGCATAGACGCTCTCTCGCCCCCTCTGGAATCTGGAGTCTTTCAAGTAATTCTCCGTCGAGAGAATCTCGTGCGCTCGACGAGGGCTCTTCGAGTACTGAACCAATTGATTTGTACACACGTTGTTTCACGCTATCGGATTGCAGAGAATTTGAATGAACAATTAGTCACGTCTACGGTATAGCCCGGCCACGATTGGCCGGTAAACAACACGGAGCATCGGCCGGGGAGTCCAAACTTTCGGCGGCGAATATCGTGTGAAGGCGAAAGCTGAATGTAGACGCGCACCACGTGCCTGTCGTTACTAACACTCGAGTAGAGTTTGGTCAATGGTAGTTTAAAATAGAGAGTGTGACGAAGATAGAGGTACACCTAATGAGAGCCAGATGGAGTGAGAGTGAGAGAGAGAGAGAGAGAGAGAGAGAGAGAGAGAACCACCCTGCTCAGTGATGCGAGAGGTTGCCTTTCGATAATACTCGGTAGTTTTTCACTGGTCATAGCGACTGCCTTTCGACCGACACGGTTCGAACTCTGTCCGGAAGACCGACCTGCCTTTGGCGATCGAAATATCAGCCGTGTGTTTCCACTTGACAGGAAATTAAATATTGACGAATATTCGGCCATGACGACTTTCTATCTTTACGGACGGCGTAAATCCGTTAAGTCTCGACCGTTGATTCTCCGAGGCAAAAATCTAAGTCACACGAGTCATCATTAAATGCGATACATGCTCAATTCCATTGTTCTTTTCTATTTGCGAATACTCCGCGTCATATTTTCAATGCTCCAAGTCATAAGTAGATGCTCATAAGTTGCTGTCAGACGTATCATCCAAGTGCTCCTTGTCATATTTTGTAGCATTATGTCGCACAAGAGCTCTTTCGCGGAAAAAGAGATGAATGTTCTAAATGCTACCTTGGTTATAAATGCTCATAATGCTCCTCGTTAAAAAGCTTAATAAAGAATTAATATTTTATTTAAGATTTTGTATCTCACATTTTATTTGGTTTCAGTTTTACAAATAAAATTTTAATTTATATTTCTTTTGTAGATTCTACATAGATACGTATATACATACATACATATATACACACACACATATATATATATATATATATATTTGTGTCCGAGCCACAAGGTTTGTGGCAGCTTCCGTTGTCCGTGAGCCTTAGGCATCTGATGCTGATTTTGACAACTGAACGAAGATTGTCTGGACGACGGAAAATCGATAAGAAGAAAACAACAACAGCTGACAGAGAGTCTCCGGCAAGCTGTCATCGTAGACAGACGCGAGAATTGTAGATCAGAGAATTATTCTTGTTTAAAGCTTGAGTGAACTGCGCTGCAAATAGTGAAGCTTGTTAATGTTACGTCCTGTAGATTTAATTAGTAAAAATTCTTTTCTCTCGCGGATTTATATTCTCCTAATATAACTATAATAGGAATATATACATATATAAATATAAATTAGGAAACAGACCCATTTGGCGAACAGCCGTCGCGCCAAATGAAAGGCGATTCGGGAAAATTCCATAACATTATTCTTACGCGAGTGTTTTCATTTACCTGAGTGCAAGCGCGAGTGCGAGAGTGAGCGCAACAATATATATATATATATTTCTATTCTGCTTCATTTTTAATTTTTCAAGTACTGAAAAAAATGATCCAGACCTCAATACAAGTGATTTACTTCCACAGCAGCAGAGTTCCTCACGTGACCAACCACTTCAACTCGACTCAATTCCCTTCATTATCAGCGTCTCAATAATACACCGATTACAGAACATTTGCATTACATCTACACCTCAACCTCTTCCCATTCTCACACCCAGTCGTCAATATCTTGGAATCAAAGTGACCAGCTAACTCCAACAAATTTAAATTTTCAGGCACAACCGCTCCCATATCGCAACTCAAATTTGATTTCTTTTTCAAACCCTTTGAGACCATCTCAGATGTCATTCGATAATCCACGATTTAAAAACTTTATTGCCCCAATGTTTCAGAGAATTTACGCAGCAATCATCGGTTTTCAATAATTATGAACAATCATCATTTATGTCTATTTCTCAATTTTCGAATCCAGAATTGAACATGAATTATATTGAAAAAGAGAATCAAAACACATATCACACTACGTAATAAAATTTGTTCTCATTATAAAATATTTTACAATAAATAAATTTATCATTTAAAAACTTCAACTGAGCAATTCATTATTACACACAATAAATCTTTCGTTCTCGAGGAGGGAAGGCTAGAAAATACAGTCGAGTTTAATATTTTTGCTTATGTCTATCTATTCTATTGAATAGGAACTGCCACATTTATGAGATATTAAAAAAAATTTTAATTATTTATTACTATTTCCTTTTTGTAAATGTGGTGTCTCTAGCTTCGATAGAACAGCATATAAGTAAAAATATAATCTTGGCTGTATTTTTCTGGCTCTTCTCCTCCTCGGGAACGAAATGTGCGATACCAAAATTTGGAGCACAAGGAGCATTTGTAACTTTTATCATCATCAGCAGCGTATGGAGCACATAGAGGAGCATACGTGGAGCATGAAATTTTGGACAGAAGAAAGTAGAATTTTGAGCACTCATAAGTGCTCCAAAGTTGTATTTGTTCAAAAAGCAGCTTTTGCAGCACTGGCTTTTCTAATATATTATGAAATGAAGGAATGCTATAAATGCTACGCCTGTCTTTTGAGCATTTGAGTATGACATAGGTTTTTGCCTCGGGTCGAGAGAGAACAAGCTTCAACAAACCAATTTCAAACGGTCCGATTTTGCTGCGATCTACTATAACGTGTGTGTGTGTGTGTGTGTGTGTGGGATGTGTGGGAAAAGAAAATTGAAAAGAATCTTTGAAGAAATATTTCCTTGATAATTTCTACACGCTATCATCGGCGTGGAACAAAGGCCTTCCTCGAGACTGATGTCAATGCGAAAAAGTGCAGGCATTAGCAAATTTCTCGAGGAGCCGTACTTCAATTATTCGTAATGAAGCTTCCATGGAAGGCGGTTCTCGCGGCACCGAGCGACGCGATTAGGGATTGGAGATGCCAGAGATGCCCGTAAATCAGTGTTTCGTAAAAACCTCCTGTAGATCCTGACGGTGACACTCTCGGCCGGCGCCGCTATTTTGGGTGCTTCCAGCTACTGCCTGGCAGAGTTCCAGCAGCGTCGGGAGTTCCTGGAGACCAGACAGAGTCTGGAGGCGCAGCTAATGTTCGAGGAACAGAGCGCGGAGCAGGAACGACTGCTGCTCAGTGTCCTGCCGGAGCACGTCGCGGTAAAGATGCGGCAGGACCTCGGCGCCTCCCTCGACACGCAGTTCAAGAAGATCTACATGTCCAGGCACGAGAACGTGTCGATACTTTACGCCGACATAGTCGGCTTCACCGCGATCTCGTCGACCTACAGCGCCAGCGAACTGGTCAAGATACTCAACGAGCTTTTTGCGCGATTCGATCAGCTCAGCGAAAGGTACTTGTCAACTAACTCGTCATCCTTGAAACGGTCACGGCGAGTCACGACGACCGACAGGTTTGATTTTAAACGTGAAAAAGATTTCGTAATGTTGCTCATTTATTTTCGACGCTGGACGCTTTAACAATCGATCCTCCGTCTTTCGTCTTTAATGTTTTGTTGACGTTCCTCATATTCCTGGATTATTGCGTCGCATCGAGCTATGAGTAATATTGCATATAAATCGGCTTTAACGTGGGAAAGAAAAGAGTGTTGCCAAGTGTTGCGGCCGAAACGTGTTTCTAACACATTTGCATTTTGCTCGTCTGTTTTGCCAAGATAGTGGCAGTCGTTTTTTGTCATGCGTTTATAATTGAGCAGGTTGCCCCGTTATGTGTTTCTTGACATTTGCTTCTTCCTGGTCTTTGTTGGCGCAACTTTCGATCGTGCGTCATAGAGGTACCTCGTACCTCTCGACAAATTTATTTCACGATACACATCGTCGTATTAGCGCGTGATATTGTATCGTGTATCAATATGCAATTGATCTCGCGCGATTTATCCAAGGATAAGCGAGCGCGGATTAGCGTTGAGCTTTCAACGCTTAGCGTAGCTGCGCCTTGGTTTCGGTTATATTACCGCGCTCTTCTAGCGCGCGGTCTATCGATCCCGCGCGCTCGCGCGCGAATTGAGAAACGCTGTTCTAGGTCGTAGATCTAGATCGGAATCTATTAAGCGGGGCTTCGCGTGTCATTGAATGCTAATCGTAATTTTAGTAAAATGCCAGGATTCCGTAACACGAGCGTTCCATTTCCGCCGTGTGGGAGGAAGCAACTCCCGGCCCGACCCGGCCCGGAAAATTCCCGGCCCAACGCGACGACGGAATTGATTTCTCTCGTCGCCGCGCAAATTCCCTCCGATCTTGTGTCTTCGACTATCCGACTCTGTAAATCCTGCCAGAGGGGAAGGTTCTTCCCGAGGACACTGGCAATCGATATCCCCGGGGACGTTTTCCGTCGATGCCGAATGCACTTTGCAGCACTTTATGCGACGACCGCGCGTCGTCGCGCGGTATTATCTCGCATTTGTTCTCCATTATCGGCCGACTCGTTTGCAAACAACCCAATTTTCCTGTCGTTCGATCGGCCATTAGGGATCTTATCAGAGCGATATATTTGTGCGAGTAAACTTTGACAAAGGGAATCGGTGAAAGTGAAATGAAAATCTCGTACACGGGCATGATGCATTTTCTCAAACGACGACAATTTCAATGTTTTGTTTACCGGTAAATCAGCTAACAGTACATAAGCTTCCGGTTACTTTTGCAAAGAGAAACATACCGAGGGAAGCCGAGGGCGACACCGAGGGTGTCTTTTGCATTGTATGAACGACGATCCCCTCGTAAATCGTATTTCTCGAACGTCCCTTTCCCGCTACGTACTTTTCGCAGAAGGATTCGCGCAGGTTGTTTGAATCCAATTTTTCTTTTCGAGGGGAAACAGGAACCTGTCGTTATCAATAAATGTCGAAGTAACTGTGCAACAATTTGCAAGTGAGAAAAGCTAAACCTATATATATATTCGTAGATACGAGCAATTGCGCATCAAGATCCTGGGGGACTGTTACTACTGTATAAGTGGTGCACCCGTCGAAAGGCCAGACCACGCGGTCCTCTGCGTATATATGGGGCTGTCCATGGTGGAGGCGATCAAGTACGTTCAACAGACGACAAACAGTCCGGTTGACATGAGGGTGGGCATTCACACGGGTGCGGTGCTCGCCGGGGTGCTCGGACAGAGACAGTGGCAATTCGACGTCTACAGCAAGGACGTCGAGCTGGCGAATAAGATGGAGAGCAGCGGGATGGCCGGGTAAGGGAAGCTGCCAGTAGCCTCGAGCCTCGAGCCTCGAGATAATGCATCGAGATCGATTGCATTTCTCGCGTTGCTCCGTCCGTCGTCAAGTATACCGCAAAAAATTAGGGGCATTATTTTTCATTCTTCCTGATGATGCATGACGGATTAATAATTCCTCGCGTTCAGTCAAATACGTATGCGTGTGCACATTCGCAGATTCGAGTGTTATTTTGATGCATGCATAAATCGCATGCGCAATTGGCTCAAGTTTTTTTCTTTACACGTGCGAAGGCGATGCAGTTTGGTAATAATAATAATAATAATAATAATAATAATAATAATAGCCGGAAAGATATTGCGCTATTGCAATGCAAATTGCGATGCAAGGGTTGATTTGTTTTCAGTAGTTTCCCACATTTGTGGGAAATTTGTCGACGAGCGACGATAAACAATAAGTACTTTGCGCATTCGATGTTCCAATTAACTTTATTTCATTTTAATTCCGCCAACTCGATTGAAAATATCATGCTAGCTGGGTGTGATTGCAATCGCACGCGAGAGCGTGATACAATTTGTCATTGAGCCGTTGTTGCATCGAGGCCGCACGCTTTGCTTGCGTCGAGAGTGCATAAATAAACAATGCTTCAAGGAGGGTACACATCTCGAACGCGACGCTGAGCTTCCTAAACGGAGAATTCGAGGTCGAGCCGGCGCATGGCGAGCATCGGGAAGAGGCACTCCAAAAAGCTGGCCTTGTCACTTACTTTATAGTGAGAGCCTTGAAGCCATTTAAGCCGGCGGTAACGAAGAGCCTGGCGTCACTGGTGGACGCGGAAAATTCGCGAAAGACAATGGAAAATGCGCCGGATAGCGGGAACAACAAAGAGGACTCGGAGGAGTTTCGACAACAGCTGAGAAAGAAACTCGACAGAGGTAAGACTCGCGCGCGCGCGTCGCGTCGGCCCGATTCCTCTTCTCTTTCCGTTCGCGATCGCGTTCGATCGCGACTTTGGAGCACGGCGATCGAGCGGGATCCCCAAACTTACAACAGAGGGGCGGCCGGCAGAGGGTTGTCTCGTTCGAGTTCGAGACGGGCGGCTGAAAAAGCCGCGCGCATGCGCGGTTTCTGCACGCCGCGGTCGACGGGCGTCGCAATTATCGACGCGGAAACTGATTACAATCGAGACTCGAGCGAGCGCGTCTCGCCAGCGTAGCACAACGTAGCAGCGAGCGTCGATGAAAAAAATCTCCAAGGGAAAATGGCACCCTCTCGAGAGCTCTCGAGCTTCGAATTCAATACGTGGATTCGATACATCCTCACGAAGTGAGGTCGAGAACTCGCTTGGCCGAGCTCGAGCTTGGGCGATCTCACCCTTCTCATGCTCGCTCGCTTGCTCGCTCGCTTGCGCGCGCGCGCGCGCGCGCGTGCGCGTGCCCGGAGAATTTCGAAATTCATCTCGAAATTGTATTTCAGTCGGGGGTGTTCTCCGCGCGCGCGCGCGTAAATCGATACGAGAGAATCAACCTCAACTGCGAGCCGTCGCTAATTACCGGACATCCGGCCCGTCCTATTAATGACTCAACCTTAAATGTGACGTCAGCCCCCGTATAAACACCCGTAGGTGGTGGCACCGACCTGAAATGTCACTCCTCCTGGTTGACCCTGCGGTTCAAGGATCCGAAAGTGGAGACGGCCTTTCACAGCGCCGAGGAGGCCTTCTCACCTCTCTCGCTGTTCGGCGGACCTCTGATAACCCTGTGCGCGGCTCCGGTCTGGAGGTTTCAACCCTGGGGACCGTTCACGTGGGGTGGCGCCGGGGTGGTCGCCCTGTTCGGTCTCGTGTTGGCTGGAGCGACCTGCCTGGGCAGCGCCGTCAGGGCGACCTGGCTGAGGAAAACCCTCGCGATCCTGATGGCATTCTCCCTCATAGAATTCCTGCTGTTGGACATGGTATGGACTTGCTGTAGTTTGCTTAATCGGTACCTGTTGCTGCGTTGTATCTGCGACACCCGTCTTAATTTACTCGTGGATTTCTTTCTTTCATCACGGCGATTCACACACACACATACACACACACACACACGCCTAGTTCTTCCCTAGCTCTTCCAACGAGAGTCTACCAACATAACGATTTTCGATGTCAACCTTGCCTGCAGTGTCTCTTTGATCCGCTTCCGACGTGAAAATCTGCATAAACAAATAATCTTTCTTCATTTATACAAATAATCGTCCCCCCTCGAGACGTCTCGAGACGCTTTGTGCTTCTTTTAACGCGCGACATAATTCTGTCGGAACGACAGCGCGCGGTCTGCGCGCATTATCACGTTTCATTCATTCGTTCGTGCGTAGAGTAACTGTGCGATCATCACCGACGTCGAGCCACCGAGCAACTCCTCGGTAAACTGGCCAACTCTACGTTGCCCGTATCCCTCTTACTACTCGTACATCGGCGTCCTCGCGCTGGTCGCGGTCTCGATGCCGACGTATCTCTGTTACTTGTACAAGGCGTTCCTCATGTATATTCTCGCCGGTGGGCAATGTTGCTACAACATCCTGTTCCTCGCACCGACCATCGACAGGGAGGACGTGATGTCGAGCCCACATGGAAAGGAACCTCGTTTCCCGCTGAAATACTCGCTGTCAGCCGTTCTGCTCATCATCGCGACCGCGTTGGTCATCGTGGCGAGATACGTAAGTGCGAAATGTTTCACTGTGTTTCACAGCGGAAAATCTCCGAGACGGAGATCAATAATCAGGCAAAATCGTGTTCTTTCATCGACGTAGTTAGACTTTTACGGTACGGTACGGTGACCTCGCGCATCCGCAAGACATCCCGACGCTCGACCGAATTACGAACAAATGGCGTTTAATGGCGCACGTTGAACGGCGAGATAAGAGATACTTTGCCAGTAGCCACTTTGGGTCCGCACAAATCAACTTGCGGTGCGTTACGGCACGCGAGAACGATTTTCCCGCCCTCAAGGACGCGCGCAGCTACGTCGATGAAAGAACAATCAATTCTCGCACGGCCGTAAAATCATGTCGACATCGCTGCCGGCGCGATTCATTCCGCGAAGAAGAAGCACGTCACGTTGAAGCGGATATCGCGAATCGAATCGAGCGCCTTAAAGCGCCATCCTTTCTGCGCGGAAATCCTGAGCGGAGACTTTCGACGTTCGATTTTCATAAATAAGGGTGTCCCAAAATTCACGCAGGATTTGAATTTTGCGCCATCTGTGCGGTAAAGTGTTGCCAACGAAAAAAAAAGAAGACAGCGTAACAGCTGACTGTTTAGGGTTTTTAAACTGACCACGCGCAGCGAAAGAGAGTTCGTTGAATGGATTATGGAACAACAACAAGTGGATGCTGATTTTTCGAACAAAATCATCTTCAGCGATGAGGCTCATTTTCATCTTGATTTGGTTTGGTTAATCGACAAAATTGTCGCATTTGGGTGGTTCGGAAAATCCACGAGTGATTGTTGAGAAACAAATGCATCCGGTGCAACGTGTCACTGTTTGGTGCGGATTTTGGGCTGGAGGCATCATCGGACGGATTCTTCGGAAGAAAATGCGGCTGGTCAGGCAATAACAGTTAACGGTGCTCGCTATCGCGACATGATAAACCAGTATTTCGTGCCAAATTGCAAGATATGGGTGTGGACGACATGTGGACATTCAACAAGACGGTGCCGCACATGCCATACAGCCCGAGAAACAATTCAATTGCTTCAACTGCATGAGTCATTTCCTGGTCGTGTAATTTCCCGTTTTGGCCGCCCAGATCATGCCAGATTTAACGCCGTTGGACTTTTTTCTTTGAGGTTCTTCGAAGTATAAGGTTTATGCCAACAAGCCCACGACAACATCCACGCCTTGAAGAAGGAAATTTCAACAAAAGAGTGCATATGTGCCAGCAAAGCCGTGAGGGCCATTTACCCGATATGCTATTCCATACATAACCCTATACTGTATACTTTGTGAATCGATAAAAAATTTACACTTCTTAATTATAAACCCGTGTGTCTTCTATCAAAATTACTTCTTGCGTGAATTTTGCGACACCCTTTAGAACGCGCGCATAGGTTCCCGCTAGGTCCTTTTATACTGCCAGGTGAGATCCTTTCTCCTACCTTGCCGCCGTGATCGGCGGAACGGCAGCCGGACGCGACGCTGCAATTTTCCCGAAATAACCCGAACGCGATCGATGCGCGCCGGGAGCGGAACCGAAACATAATCCATTCGCGAACGCATCCGGCGAAAACAGCCGGGTCCGATCGGGGAAGATTGAACCTCGATCAATTTGCCCGTCGAGCGAGCACCTCTTCTCAATGCCATTCTCTGTGTCCGTCCAGCTGTGATCGTCCATCTGGCTACCGTTGAAAACACCGGCCGGCAGAAAGATGAATGCGATTCATCGCGGAATTTTCGTCACGAGGCGACACATTTCCTCTCGACTCGTGCCGTCGCGGAAACGCAGCTCGCGCACGCGTTCTTCTGAGACGAGGAGGAAACTTCTTTGTCGAACGGACCGCAATTCTCCGTAGTTTGCGACGGTTATCATTCTTTATGATTAGTTTGTTCGTCACATCAAGATGAGACGCGAGAATCTTAAATTCCGAATAAAGCTCGTCGAAAACACATGACAATTGTCTGCTGCGTAGGCTGAGAAGGCGCGAAGGATGCTGTACCTGAGAGGACGCGAGGTGATCGCGCAGAAGGAGCGAGCGGCGGACATGAAGCGGAGGAACGGCGTGCTGATATACAACATCCTGCCGCCGCACGTGGCCGTGCATTTTCTGTCGAGTGCGAGGCATCACGATGATCTCTACAGTCAGAGCTACGCTGAAGTCGGTGTGCTGTTCGCCAGTATACCGAATTTCGCGGACTTCTACACGGAGGAGACCATCAACAATCAAGGTCTCGAGTGCCTGAGGTTTCTGAACGAGGTCATCTCGGACTTTGACGCCGTGAGTTCCCGTGAGATTGATCGATGAGGGGTTTTTACCTCGCTTGAAATTATTCGCGATGTATTCGATAATAATCGGCAGATTGGCCAACGAACAAAATTCAAGCGCAATTTTGCAAAGCGCCAGCCGATTTAATTATTCGCGCGAATTAATAGTCGTGCGCCTGTCCGCTCGTGTGACATCTCTGACATCACTCACCACTCTCTCTCTCATATTCTTCCCTGACAGATTCTTGATCAGAATAAATTCAAGGATACCATCATCAAAATCAAGACGATAGGATCGACCTACATGGCCGCCTCAGGCATCACCGAGTCGGTGGAGACGGAAGACGGTCCCCGATGGGGTCATCTGTCCACTCTCGTGGAGTTCGCCCTGGAGCTTAAGAAAGCCCTGTCGGGCATCAACGAGCAAAGCTTCAATCACTTCGTCCTGAAAATGGGCATCAATCACGGGCCGGTGACCGCCGGGGTCATCGGGGCGAGAAAGCCTCACTACGATATCTGGGGCAACACCGTGAACGTAGCTTCGAGGATGGAGAGCACGGGAAAAGTCGGCTGCATACAGGTAGCATAGCGGTCGACAAGACTCGTGTTATCTCGACTAGTGATTCCGCGTAAAGAAATATTTATACCTATAATTAAGGAACGAACATCCGTTCCTTCCGCCACGTAGTAAATCGGAGGAAAAATCCGCAGGTGACCGACGAAACGCGACGGATCCTGGAGCCGTTCGGCTTCGGCTTCGAGCAACGAGGTCTCGTCGACGTGAAGGGCAAGGGACAGCTGTTGACGCACTACCTTATATCCAAAGACGGTGTGTCTCTGGACCTCGATAGCGATCTTCCCGTCGAGCCTACTCATCCTATAATCTATCAGTAATCAGTACTCGAAGGCTCTAATTCGTGAACGAGAAAAGCTACCACCTCTCTTTCGAGAGAGAGAGAGAGAGAGAGAGAGAGAGAGTGAGAGGGGGGAGAGGGTCTCAGACCGAAGGTCAGATTCCTTCTGCTCCTTCCTCGGGTCGCTTGATCGGCGACAGACGAGAAGAAATGGAAGCTGACGAAGCTGATCGTTTCTGTAGCACCGAACGGTTTTCCTTCAAGAGCGTTCGGCAAACTACACGTAATGTCATAGAGAGCTCTCTAAATGTGTTAGCATCTCCTCGTGTCTCGGAGGGAGGGAACAGCACGCGAAGGAAGAAGCGAAAGAAGCGTTTGAGCGAACGAACGAATCGGGCAGGATTGACTGTTAGACTAGATAGATCGTTCGTGACTGTCATCCTCGAGTGTCATCGTACGTTGCTAAATAAAGTAAGTCATCATTGACGAATCGATCGACTAAAAAGCGAAGAGAGAAGAAACACACAGCCGCCGCTAACTGTTCACCGTTTACGTCTAGTAATGTTTATACGCGCAAACTCGCGTAAGAGAACCGCCACGTTCTCTCTCTCTCTCTCTCTCTCTCTCTCTCTCTCTCTCTCTCTCTCTCTCTCTCCCCCCTCTCTCTTTCTCTCTCTCTCTCTCTCTCTCTTCAATGTCTTTCGGACAAAACGGCAATTGCAGGGTGCGTCTCTCGCGCATTTTCATTCCATCTGAGGCTCGTCAAGGGAGAAGCGCCACGACCGTTCTATCGACGAAGATGCGTCCAACTGTCGTACAGGGTATATCCGAAACCAAAAAAGTAGTGAACTTAGACGAAACTGCGCGAGCTTGAAATCGACTGAAAACCTAACCTTGATGTTGATCATCGTGTAAATAGCGGCGGACAACCCCTCGAAGTAAACGTACAAATAATCACCTTGTGACGCGAGTCTCATAGTCTCTACGTCTAATTTCTCTCTCCAAGTCGCGTCGGTCAGATACTCGGCTGCCGACGGGAAGGTAATTACGCGTAATTAATACGTCAGAGTGGATTCTATCAACGTCAGAGATGATCCTTATCGATATGAGCAATAATCTAAGGAGAGAGAGAGAGAGAGAGAGAGAGAGAGAGAGAGAGAGAGAGAGAGAGAGAGAGAGGGAGAGGGATGAGGAGGGAAGAGGAGAGAGAAAGAAAATCAAAGAGACGAAAGTAAAATCATAAAAAAAGTCATTCAAAGCAAGTACAAAGTTATCTGTCTTCGCATCACCGACTTAGATTTACCAATGGCGTTCGTACATGGCACGATATCGGATCATTGATCCGATTACAAATCGCTCGGGGAGCAAAGAGATAGACGATTTAACGAATAACGGCATCTTCTTAGGGGAGCTTAGAATTGTATTTACCTTCCGGATTAGCCTTCGGATACACATCGTTCGTAGAGTACACACACGTGTGCGAGATATATCGCAGAGATACGGTACATGTACGTACATCGGAGGTACTCAGCAAAAGCACAAAGAACGTAAAAGAAGAAAGTAAAAACTCTAGATCGCGAGACTACACAACTACGGCGTGCGCCGTAAATAAAAAGAAAAAAAGGGGAAAACAGGAGAAAAGAATAAAAAGAGAGGAGAAACTATCGCCGATACGGTAATAATTTATTTTTCTACAGTCGCCGAGTTGATCACAGACCAAGATGACTCGAGTACGTACAACGCACACGAGGAGGAGGAGTACGAGAAGGAGTTTGAAGTGGTTTTCTACTGACTCTTTCGTTACCGTTTGACGGCGCACGCACCCTGCTTTATCTCGAAACGCAACACAAAGCTCCTTGTTGCGTGTGTTTGAGAAAGCGTTTTCTACTCGATCCTGACTTGAAATGTAGCTAAAAATCGAGTCAGAGGTTGCACGATTCGCGGCCACGTTGAATATAACGAGAGAGAGAGAGAGAGAGAGAGAGAGAGAGAGAGAGAAAAGAGAGAGAGAGAGAGAGAGAGAAAGTTACAAGTGTATGAAATGAGAGAAGAAGAGAGAGAGAGAGAGAGAGAGAGAGAGAGAGAGGATATGATGAAAAAGTGGTTAATAATCGAAAAGGTGGAATGTACGGCCTAAAAGTGCGAGACGAAGCTGACGACAAGTCGGGCAAATTGTTTCGAGGAGAGAAACGGTACACTTGAGAATCTCTCCACGAATCGCATCTTTCCATAACATAAATATAACACTCGCACACAGAATACACACATATTTTCCGTACGTCGATCGATCGATGCGCCAGCAAAATGGTTGGAACGAAAATGACGTGGATGACGTGTGGCATAAGTCCTTCGTGAAAAATCGATCGGTTGAGAGAAATTTATATCCGAGGTTAATCTTCGCAACTTTGCGAAGTTTCATTTGGCATATCCGTTTTCTCTTCACGAGGTCGTCACGCGAGCATATGACAACGACGACGACGACGACGACGACGTGAGACGCGCAAAAAAAAGGAACACGTATATAGTCGTGTAAGGAGAATATATCACTGTAGATATCCTAGTACACCTTAGATGGGACAAAGCGGACTCGAGGAACGAAAAGGACACTTTAGTCGTGAATCTTCAAATTTCCTAGCGCGACGAGCGGCCGCACGCAAAGAGAAAGAGGGAAATCAGAAGGTAAACGTGGCGCGGAATTAAGTGAGAAACCCCACTCCTGCGTCGGCGAAGTAATAAATAGCGCGCCTTCGCCTACGAGAGAAATGATATTTTTTCTCCACAGACAAGCGCTCGCGAATCACATTCGTCGAGATTACGAGAGTATTGGCGCCGAATTTTGCGAGACGAGCTTTCGATCGCGCTGCGTTGAGGCTCGAAAAGCGCTTCGAAATTGTGGTTTAAAGCTCGCCTCGGAACGACGGAGAGACGACCGGAATATGAGATGCTGCAACATCAACATGGAGATAACTTGAAAATAAGACGAGCTTAAACATCAGAAGTTTGGCCTAATAAAACGCTGATTACGCGGGACTACGAAGTTGCGAGTAATTTGGCTACGAGATAAAATAATTTCTCTCTCTCTCTCTCTCTCTCTCTCTCTCTCTCTCTTGACAGAAAAACAGAGAGAGAGAGAGAGAGAGAGAGAGAGAGAGAGAGAGAGAGAGAGAGAGAGAAAGAGAGAGAGAGAGAGAATGAGAGAGAAATAAGATAACGATCAAGAGAACAATTCTCCTGAAACTTATATTAGATATCAATCATGAATGGGTGTGCAAATCTCTGTTCTGGAGCGAGACACTTTGTCGATTATCAATCGAGTTGTCTCGCAGTTGGTTCGCGGCGGCGAATCAAGTCCATTTCTTAAGCTTCTAGGTTCGCGCCAATCGAGGACACGAGTGGCAAAGTGTTAGCGTTTAAAGAAACAACAACATTAGTATCTTTGTAAATAAACTTCGATTTAGAATCCTGTGAATTCTGTGAATTCTGTGAAAGTAAAAACGAAATTAGTGGAAGAACACGAGATGCGATTGACAACTTGCAGTCTCCCGAAATCCCTTCCGATCCTCAAACACTTGTCATTATTGACAAGTCGTTCGCGTCCCGCGGCTCGAAAGCGGCTTGACTTCCGATCCAATCGAGAGTGGGAATTGAAAGGATTACCAGTTAGCGTCTTTTTTTTGTAATTTTTTTTTATTATTTCTTCTTGTGTCTCGATGGGAGAGAGGAAAGTAATACCGCGAAATGGAACGACCGAGTGGAGGTAGTTGAGACATTTACGAGCGTTGTATGTAGCATCGACGACTAGAGAGTCTCGGGGATACACTTTGATACGATCCGTCTTGGCACGATTGGATTCAACGCGCGGCGTAATTGTACGTCGGATCGTCCCATTGTCGCGGTACTGGCTAACATTCGACGAGATAACAGGAGGCACGAACGCTGTGTAAGTGTAATCGCGAAAACGTATACCGCCGAAATCGAAATTCCATGTCGCGCCGTACGAAACTCGAAAACTTGCTCCGTCTCTCATTCCCGATTATCACCGTCGAGAGAATAGCACTTATTAATGGTAATTTTTATTCAAGTAGAGGAGAAAGAAGAAACTATGCAAACTATCTTACGGCCAATCAGCCTCTCGTTATCGTTATATAAATCTCATTGCTATTGGAAGAAAATTTCGAATATGGACAAAAATCACGGAAGATGGGAAGAGAGATTTGCAATTGACGTAAATTCTATCGCAGAAAAAAGAGATTTGCGTCTACTTTCTGAGGGAAGATGTAGATTGTACCTCGATTCGTCTACAAAATTCTCGGCAGTATACGTCTCGCATAATTGCGAAGTATAAGGTAAGTACACCCTTATCAACTTTATAATCTGTTTCGGCGATCGCAAGAGGGATGTCGTCGTGAGATTAATTTTAAATCTGACGTCACGTATCGCGTAAAGAGGATAAAGGAGGAAATTTTCTTCTTTACATAGTGTAGCAGCGTTACATATATGTACATACATTGTACAGTACGATAGTTAAAAAAAGTAGAGTGCGGTAATTCCGCTATCGCATGTATGTGTGTGTGTGTGTGTGTGTGTGTGCGTGCGTGTGTGTGTGTGTGTGTATGTGTAACACGTCTTGAATTATTTTTAGAAATTTCGTTGCTTCGTACAAAGCACAACATCAAAGTAACGAAGATACGCCTTTGCGCGTAACGACCACAAATATTTATAATATATGTATACACATTCTTTTTGTGTTTGTATATATAGGTTTAATGTTTATATATATATATATATATCCTTTTTATTACATATATGAAATATGGTCGGCTAGGCTGTACGAAATAAGCTCAGAGATCTCCCTCTTCTCGCGTCTTCCGAGCTAATCGCGGGCTTAAAACGAAATCGAAATCAATCTTAAAATCTAGCAAAAAGATAAATGGTGACCTCTCGGAGGGATTTTTCAATGAAGAGAGGAGCACGTGTCAAGCAAGTCGGGCTTGTTTTTACATTTACTGACGTAACGATCGATGTGATATTTTATAAAAATACACAGACACACACCTTCAACCGTCGATCATCAGCTGGCTTCACGGCGCGAGATCTGTTTGCTTGCAGCGAGAGCGTTCGATTTTCGAGTTTCAAGCCGCGTCGCGTTTCGATTAAAGCGATTAGTCGAATTAGACGATAAGCTACTTTCGGATTTTACTATAACTCGGCGTCGTTGTCAGAAGCCGCTTGATTCCAACGGAAAGCCTCGTCGTTTCCGGCCGGAGGAGGCCAGCTCCGCCTAAAGTGAGTTACGCTTAACGTTAGAATTGAATTGCCGGGAACGAGCGCTTCCCGGCCGATTGTCATTGAGAGAAGTTAGTGTGTAAAGCACTTGTGTAAAGACAGTCGTGGAGTTTCTCAAAGAATTCGTGAGATTATTACGCGCTCGCATGTCGCACGTCCGTATAAGATGATGGCTCCGCGCGCAAACAAGGCACTGCAAAGCAACGGGGGGGGGGGGGCGGAGGGTTGGCCGAAGAAGGAGTCGAAGGAGTTTTACAACTCGAAATCAAACAGTTCAATGGAACAATCGAAAAGGCGAATCTGCGAAGAACACAGGATCGCCAAAGAACAGTTTCGTGTCTCTCTCTCTCTCTCTCTCTCTCTCTCTCTCTAGCGGACCGTATTTATCCGGATTAGACTCAGGCAGGTTTTCACCGGCGTAAAATGGCGCCCGTTCGAGGCGAAATGCGCTGAATACCCCGTAATCCTGACGGAGTCGAATCGCCATTGATAATCGCCGTGGGAATTTCAGTAATTCCAAAAATATAGAATAGCTTCAGTTATCTCGTTAAATCTGTCAATCGACGCCGTTACTCTGCAAGCCCGAGTATAAGCTGAGGCTTCCTTCACGCGTATCTTGTCGTCTTAAATCGTCTTAAATCGTTTAACGCGTTTAAACGCGTCGAGTGATATCGAAATGCATCAAATGACGTGATTTCAGACGACAAGAAACGCGTGAAGAAAGCTTCAGCTTATACGTGTCAAAATAACACACTCGAGTGTTGCAGTGTATTCGCGCCGCGATTACAAATCCGCGATTCGACCAGCTGTCGAAACCTCAAGAGTCCTTCCCCGCGATTGTCGCAACGCTAAGTCGACTCGAAGCTGCGTATCATTTGTCTTCGGACCCAGCCTCTATTGACCGGCCGGCCGGCCGCCCTATTTACCGTCTCTCGACGACACACGCGGCGAAATACAACTTGTTACTATGAAGAGTCCTTTAACGAGTTCTCACAACTCGAAGTACATCGGCGAAAGCAATATGCCGGAAACTCTGTCTCACCTCGCCTATTTCGCGAGACTGGAGCATAAATTTGTATTCTTTAACGAGGTGTTTGGACTCGCGATTGCACTCATCGGGACCTCCAATCCGGCGTCAATGCATATCTCTTAGTCGCATTCTCTCCCTATAAATACATACCCTATATATATATATATGTGTGTGTGTGTGTGTGTAGGGTACATCTTTATATATACATATATATATATATGGTATATATATATATATATATGTTATGTCTTGAGAAATGGAGACTGGAGGCTAGACTCGTAGCAAATAGACTAGACGTAGACTTGACAACCTGTCGTAAATTACAACTTCCCCACTCTGCGTCGGCGGGAATTTTTGGTCGCGCCAGACCTGGTATCATCCCGCTATCATCATCGCGCTAGCGAAACGCAAATTGCTGTTTTTGGATGCACACAAACACGCACGCATATACGCACACACATACGCTCCTCTGCGACCCAACACACAAGTCGTTGTCGTTGTCGCTGCTTCGTTATCGCTCTCGTCGTTTATCGTTTATCCTCCCCGTGCTACCTTCGTCTCTTTCGTCGCCGAAACTTTGTACGAAATTCAGCCGGACACGCGCGCAAAACTCGTCGCGCTCCAACGAAACAACGTGTCCTTATATTGTATATAAAATTGTTTCTACCTAGCCGCGTGTGGAGCGAGTCGCGTATCGACTGTCGCACATCCGTCATCCGGCCGTTCATCCTCGATTCATCGCATCGATCTCGCCGTTGAAAAATTCACGCTCAGCCTAAACTCAGCCTGAGCCTCGTCATCCCGAAGATGGGCTAATATGCGCTCGTTGTCGTCCCGTTTTCCTTTCCCTCGCAGGGCTATCTCCGGATCCGGTCAAGTGTTGGCGCTGAACGCGCCATTGGCACCCAGACGACCGTTATCCTGCGTCGGCCCAGGATGCCGACTGGGCACCAGCAGCCAGCCTCACGTTCGAGCGAACTTGTAGACCACACCAAACACCAGCACGCTCACCAGCATCAGCACCAGCGCGGTCACCACCTTGGCGAAGGCGTTCAGCCCGCTCTCGGCGTGCTGCTGGGGTCTTCTGGCCGGCACGCTTTGCTTGGAAGCGAGGCCGCGCGCAAGTGCGGGAAAAGCCAGACTCTGTGTGAAGGTCAGCTTGTGGAGGGACTCCGACAAGGAGTATGGGCCGACGGAGCCGCGGGCCGCGGCCCTCAGAAGAGCGTACTCCAGGTCCAAGGCGTCGAACATGCTGTATCTGCTGGTGGAACGTGGAACGTTAATATCGTTGTCGATTCGACTGTTATTATTGTTATTATTAATCTTCACGCAGTCTGGGGGGGGGGGGGGGATTTGTCAGCGACTTTTGTAGCGTTCGAGTTGGAATCTTTCTTTTCTGCACGCATCGTCAAAGGGTAGAGTAGATTACATACAAAGGATGGCCCCTTCCTCCGTGCCACTTCTCCGTTCCACCTCCCAGTTCCAAAAATTTATGATTTCGGTCGATGAGACAAATTATTCGATTCTCTTGTTTGATATTACTGAACGACCTGTGCTACGCTCTCAATAACTTCTCTTCAAGATCACCCTTCTCGCACTTTCCCTCTTCCTCTCTTTGCCTTTTGCTCTTTCTTCCATCGAAAGAAATAACGCAACTACACAGGGTCTTACTCACAGGCTACGCGTGTTCGTCATTTTCGAGAACTCTCTAGCGGTTGAAAATGTCGCTGCCTATTACGTATAAAGCAACCTTTGCCACACAGATGGAAAAATGAGCGCGACGACTGTGACGTGAGCTTTCGCCTCGAGAAGCCTCGCGAGAGCAAATGGGTGGCAAGCTGTGGTAGAGGGAGAGAGGGTGAGAGAGAGAGAGAGAGAGAGAGAGAGAGAGAGAGAGAGAGAAAGGCGTGTAAGAGCGGGTCTCTATCGAGACGATCCAATGTCTCGACCTCGCGCGAGGTCCTGCGTGCTCGACCGTGAGATTGCGAGACCGCGACCGCGGCAAAAAAAGAGCGAGAAATTGGGGCGCGGTCGACCTCGCGAGGGAAGGAAAGCGATTTCCTCGAGGCCCTCGAGGTCAGTAGAAGGAGAGTCACTCTCGGTAACGACGAGAACACAGTGAGTGTGTGTGTGCGCGCGAGCGATATATCGTCGATACGTATGTATATGTGTGCACGCGCGCGCATTACTCGACGTCGACGCCGATACGTCGTCGTCGAGCCCTCGTGTATTTGCATCGTGTCAAGGCCGTTCCTTGACACGAGTCAAGATCGAGCCCGACGTCGAACATAGCCGACGATGGATTGTTCCTGATCTCTCTGAAAGCGCTGCTCGCGCACCACGTGCGGCCAAGGATAAGGTCGAGTTTAAGTGATTAACGAACACTCGCGCTGGTAATATCTCGCGACGGAGAAGCAAGGAGAGAAGCAAAACTCTAGCGTACTCTCTAACAGCCTACTGTTATCGAACAAAGCCCCAGGGGGGGGGCTCCACGCTCGGAAGAACGCTCAGAACAGCCGTTGGCGACTTTCGCTGCCGCGCCAGGAATGTAATTGCGATACGATGTAACGATGATGTAATACGCGCGTGACTTCACGATCTCATCTTTCTCCCCGTTTTCACGGGGTCCCGGTGGTCCGCGGTCGGCAAAAGGGTAGCGTTTGCAAAAATGTCGTTTCAGGCGTAGGAGGCCTTCGATCGCGATTACCTGCTGCTGCGTCTTCTGTCCTGGGAGTGCATCGAGGCGATCGCCGAGCTCGGCATCGATCGCAGGCTGCTGGTGGTCGAGCTGGAAGGACTCGGCGGCGCAGGTGGCTGATCCTCGTCCACGGACGTCCTGTCCGGCGACGGCGGGCTCTTGGAGGCCGCGTTATGATGGTTGTGGTGCAGATGATGCAGGTGCAACCGCGCGTGATCCGGATGCAGCAGACTGGCGCGACGCGACTGCTGCGGCGTCGTCGCCGGACTGTTGCAGACCGCACCGCATGGCGACGGCGACGCCTTCGCATGAAAGTTTCGCACAAAAGTTCACGATATATATCACGATATATATTTTTTTTTCTCTTTGCCTAGCTTACGACACACCCTCTAGTTTCTCTAGCGGCTCTCGCGCTGCCCGACCGATCTCGAACGTTTACTCGCGTGTGCGTGTCGACTTGCGACGTGCGCGCGACAGCGAGCGAGCGAGCGAGCGAGCGAGCGAGCGATTAACAATTGATAATAGTCTCACCTGAATGGACTCGATGCCGCTGTCGTTGACGCTCTCCTGCGCGTCCGGAAACACGAAGGCCTGGGCCTGTCCGTCGGCTTCGCCCCTGGGCGAATCGCTGGGCCATACCTGAAGAAGCGGAAGCCCTCCGCGCGTCTCGTTGCAGACCTCGGCGACGACGACGTTGCTCTGTCCGCCAGCATTCAGGCACAATCGGCCCAGCTCTCTCAGTGGCTTCTGTTGAACGACGTTCGGTTCTGAATAACTTCGAAGCACCGCCACGATCCTTACAATTAAATTAAATTCTTGCCAAAGATAGCCAATTCAAATTTCAAACTCGGGGAGCGACGAGAGAGAGAGAGAGAGAGAGAGAGAGAGAGAGAGTGTTCGCTGTGACGCTTTCCGTCGGACTTTCTCAAGAAATAAGCGACGCTGGAAACTTTATAACGCTACGTCCCGGTACGAGGCCGAAATACGATTTTCATCGTATTCGCGTCGCATAGAAAGCCACCGAGGTCCTTCACGATTTCTGAGGATATATCATATTGGTGTGAAATATCGAAGAGGAATATTTTTAGTTACTCTCGTGAGATTCGCGAGAGCGATCGATGCGACTTGAGCTCCGTCGAGCCTTGATTACATACAGTCTAGACGACGTTTGAGGGGAGAGAAGCCGCTGTGTGAGAAGAGAACAGGGAGATCTCATTGAGATCAACGGGAGAGACGCACGCTGCCGCGTGCGAGAATCCGGCGCGATCGAACTGCTCCGGCAAATCGCATCGATAAGTCGCAATCGCGAATACGATACGTTATCACGTTATCGGCGGAGTTCGTCACGAAATACCGTGCCTGTGGCTGCTTATCGATCATTCGCGCGGTTCCACGCGGTATCTTTGACGTCAATGACGATTATACCGATTTTCTCGGTAGAAACTACGCGACTATTTATAGAGCGAACCGCGCGAAATCTCGATAAATTTGAAAAAATTCCCGTAATTCCCCGGCAGTTCGAGATCGTAATTAGCGGATTAGCCGGTAACTGAAAGTACCATAATACGGCGCGACCGTGAAGTCGCGCTGAGTCGCGGCAACACGCGATTCTTAATCCTCCACTTCCCCGCGGCGCAAAATCCAATACCTTCATTCGTGCTTACTGCGTCGTTAATGGAATCTTTTCTGTTTCACCGAGGTTTCACGCAGCAGCACCGATGGATTTTGCAGCCGTGGCGAGATCAGTGCAATTGCGGGACTCGAGTGCAGACGAGAGAGGAAATGTCACGCATCCCGATATTGCGATTGTCAGCACGATGACATCGCTTACGATGATCCGATCGATTACCGATTAACTGCGGATAACGTTAAATATAAGCTCGCGTTTGTGCCGTCGTCGTTAAAGCCCTGCCCCGATATGATCAGAAGTGAGAATTCGCGAACCACGACTCTTCATTCCTGCTCCTCTAGCTTCTCGATGGATTATCATTCATCGCTCGCCGTCGCTCGCCGTCGCTCGCCGTCGCTCGCGCGCTCGTGCCTCACCTTCGCCCTTTTCGCTCCGTCCTATTCGTCACGAGGACCGCCCTGTCCGCTGCTGTCGATGTCGATCGAGCGATCTGATTTCATTAAGTGTGCCACGCTGGACAGAGTGGATAATAATACACGGTTTAAAGTTCAAAATGTCGCACGGCGGCACGCAGGAATCGCGCCTCGAGCGCGCACGCGTCCGATGACGCTCCGCAGACTCGAGGATAAACGGTTCGCTGGTTTCCGGTGCGACGAGCCTGCAAAGGTCGCCCGGCTGTACAAAAAAGCGTCGAGGAAAAGGGACGGCCGCAAAAGCGATGCGAAACCGATCGATAAAGCGCGAGCGAAAGGAAAGCACGTCGCTGGGAGGAAAAAAAAAGGAAGAAGGAAACACAGCCTTCTCGCCGAGGCGAGGCCTGGAATTCCTCCTCGTCCTCCAATTCGCCAATCGTGCCGAGCGCGCATTTCCGGCATTTGTTCGCGCAACACGCGACCAAATATCGACAAATTGTGCGTAGCGCAATGGGTGCGTTCAACGGTTGTGCAACTGTTGAGTGATTTCGCGCCTGAACGCTACTGAGCGATGCACTCACTCGCTCAACATGTTGACTGAGCGGCCGCCATTTTTCTCATCATAAATATTCATCGCCACCTTTACTGATCAGTCTCCGATCCAACATGGCGTACAACCCATGAATAAAGAAACTAACAAAGAAAATAGCCATATAAATCCAGATATATATAGCGGGGAATACATCAAGGATGACGTATAGACATTGTACATTGCAACAGACACGTATGAATTATATTGATAAAAATACTTAATAATTACAAGACACCGTGAAAACGTGTAGACGGGCCGTAATATTTAGTACGTTTATCTGACATTTTTTTCCGCGCAACAAAATTGAGCAGAATTCAGTTGCGTCCAGTGTACATTTCTACTGCTCAATCGGGATGCTCAATCGGTTGCTCAGCAACTGCTGAGCTTCGTGAACGCACCCAATGCCTCCTTTCTGCTTCCCTCAGCACACAGTGAGCGGTTCGTAATTGGAAGCGAAGCGTCAAACGTAGACCGTCCCGTCTACGTAAAGAGAGCCGTCTTCGATTTGAACACGTTCAACACGTGCGTATATCGCGCTTCGCGAAACTGCTTTATCGTCGATAGCAGTCGATAGAATCCGACATCAATCAACGCGCAGGGTAGATGTCGCAGGATACTTTCGCACCGCGGACAGGCGATGTAAAATGCTTCGAGTTCGCGAGGGTCTTTCTCGAAACGTCCGTGTGTCTCTGCGAGGAACGACTACGACCGCCAGCATCTGTCGAGAGAGCTCTCTCTTCAGCCTACTAAAGAAACGTTGACCCGACAAGGCATGTGTGTGTGTGTGTGTGTGAAAGTAGCACGAAGGGACAGTCAAGAGGGGTGTAAGAGAGATTGATAAAGGGCGAGCAGGAAGCGTATACCGTTCCGTCTGAAATATCGGATTGAGCCGTGACGAGACGCGGAAGCCGAGCGCAATTGGCAGCATTAAATAAGGAGACAAACAATGGCCGCAAATTGAACCAAGTCCGTTCAAGACACGGTCGCATGCCTGCACTGACAGTGTGTGTCTTTGCGTTTTTCACCCCTCGATTGTTATTCCACGCCACCCTTTTACGACGCTCGCATAAAAGCCCGTCAAGCATTTTTCTTCCTCCTTTCCGGCCCCTTTTTCCTTTTTTTTTTTTTTTTTTATAGTTTCGCGCGAACGATTTCGAGTCACGCTGCTAGAAAGGTCACGGCGGAGGGGAATGCACGGTGCTGCGCGATATGAAATCAGATCGATAATGCAAAGGCTCTTTAAAATGCGGACTCGTTTCCGCCGTAATAAAAAGTTTGCTCGTCGCGAAAAGAGCGAGCTTCCTGGCTTCCTTCCCCGTCGACCGTGAAACTACGCGAGATTCATACGGTAAATCATTACTTCGAAGAGCGCCTTTATTGGGGGCGAATCCTTACGCGACTCGCGCGTCGCGTCGCTCGTGCGAGCCGATTTTCCACGAGAGAGCCAACGGGAGTAATCGATGTGTACTTGAATGTGCATACGTTCCCAGCTTCTTACTTCCTTTTCGCGCGGAACGTCGCAGCGTCTGCTAGAGACGCGAGATGCATTGACGTTGCGCGCATTAAGCGCAATCGTATTCTGGCGGGACTCCAAATCGCCCGATGGAAGAAACGCCCTCAACGAAGAGGATGACCGTGCGAAGAGGATAACGCCGAGACACGGAGTATCTCGGGATCTCGTTGTCCCTGGGAATGCTTTAATTAAAATCAAATTGATTCCGGGAGCCGGGAGGAGAGAGAGGAGTAAGAATTGGGAAGATGGCTCCAGACTCCGCCGCGCGCCCCCCCCCCCCGGAATTTGCGAACTCTGACGTTTAAATCATTTTCACAATCGGTTCCGCGAACTTTTTGAAACTTTAAGAGCCTCCTCGCGCGCTCCCCCGGAACAAGCAATCTCCGCGAGAAAAGTCGGGCTAAATCATATATCGCGAACGTCCGTTCGCGGAATCGCTCTGCCCGGCTCTCTCACGAATTTTTCACGAAAGTGCGAGTGCACTTTCTATCTAATTTAATCCAATAACCGGCGAAACGTGTTGCCCGTTACGTATTCAGCAATAAAATACCGTGAAGCACGCGCGCGATTCCCAGCGCGTGATTAGGAGTCTCATTCCGCCCGTCCGACCTCCAATAATTCGTGACCGCCTTGCAGAATTAATACGTTCGCCAACTCCCAACGTCGGTTGGGCGGGCTGAAAGAGATATCCGCACGCGTGTCAATTCTCAAGAGAGCGGCCGTTGGCGCGCTCCAGGAGATTGTTTCGCGGGAAAAAGGGAGAGTCGGCGAGATTTTCCGACTCTTATTTTTCCGGGATATGTGCTGCTCGTGCTGCGGTCGTTGGAGCGGAAATGCGTAGTGCAGTCGGCGTAAATCTGCTCGCGCAACAATTCGTATAATTGATTCGCACAAAGAGACACGTTCGTTCGTGACCGTGACTGCATGATCGCGTCTTCTTCTTCTTCTTCTTGTTTGGCCATGGCCAAAACGATGACGGTCGATGAAGGGGAGGAAAAAGGCATGTAGATCGTTTCCCTGGCACGATGCCAGTCCCGAGTGAATGAAAAGACCTCAATCCTCGGATACGTTTTATGCTTCCCAACAATCTCCACGCGCGATCTTAACGCGCACGGAAATGCTCCCGAGTGACACGGACGCGCGCGACCTTTACGCCAATTTCTCCGAGATTAATCTCCAGTCGAAACAATGTCCGACCTCAACGCGGATATTACAAAGTATGAAAAGAGAAAGGAGAGAAAACGCGTAAATCGATTTAGCGGACTTGTAACAGCTCCGTCACTTTACACGTGGCTGTTTCTTCTTTTCGCAATTACGATCTCCACCGCAGAAGAGGGAGCGGCGCGAGAGGAAGTTGATAAAAGAACTAGCAAGCGGAGAAAAGTCTGGGGGGATAAGTTTAAATAACGTTGCGCCGGTTTGCCGTGATAAAAAACAAACTACTCGCCGTAGCACGTCGGACCTTGAAATTTCACGACAAGAATCACGTCGTCGTAAAGTGCATTGCCGAGAAGACAAGCGTGAGAAGATGAACCGTGTACGTGGTAAAGCAATCTTGAGAAAGGAACATTTCGTAGAGGCACGTCGCGTCGTCGCGAATGTCGCGGAACAACGACGCACATCTCAGAAGACAAAATACGGTTAAACGATCGACTTGAGAGAGACACATGTAGCGCATTACGCATTAAGTGAGTGTTTAAAATACTCGTCGACTTTACCACCGTCAATAATCGATACATCTCCGATAAAGTCGACTGTCTAGGACTCGACGACAAGCGACAAGCGACTACCGACTGCCCGGGATGATCCGCCGAGCCACCTGTATGCTTCTCGTACGGGGGGGACTTTCGACAAGGAACGTGCGGATACGTACGACGCTGTTTGTAAATTCTGACCGTGAGTCTGACAAAGACGATCAACGAGAGAACGACGATCATTCGCATCCTGAGAGAAAGCCACAGAATCTTGTAGCACAAAATTTTCACTGAACGATTCCACCAAATAACGGTCACGCAGAGGAGTGTGACTCACTGGCCGCTCCCGATCGTGTCTAACGATCGATTGTTCAAAGAGTCGGCGAGGTTTGAGTCTGCCTCTGCGTACTCTTGGATGAACCACGATGACGTCGTGGTGATCATCACTCGAGGAGAGATCGCGGTCGAGGAACGCTGACGAGCGAACGTGAATTCTCTCGGGTCACGAATCGCGGACGAAAGTTCACGTCACGTTCGGAAAGATGCGGATCGGCGAGGATCCTACCTGCATGCTCCTGCTCGCATGGCAGAAGATCCTGGCACGATCCTCCGAGGCGTCCGTTTACTCGGTCCAGGATTACGATTTCGGACTCGCTATCGGTCTCCTCGAGCTTCGAACTGCGACTGGATCCGGCCGCGCGCGCGGCAGGACCGTGTGCTTCGCATCGCGGGGGTTGCTCAGCAGCCTCATAGGAAGGGGTGGAGAGCCAGGTGGAAAGGCGCGGCGGGGGTTGTTTTCGCTGTGCCGGCCGAGGGTGAGAGTGGTGGGTCTGTTATCGGCGCGGGACGATGAGCGCGTCGGCAGGTGTGTGTGTGTGTGTGCGCGCGCGCGTGTGGATTCGCGTCCCTCTCGATATTTCCAGACGGACTTTTCGCCAGTGATCCCAATTTTCTGCCATGATTGAGCCACAGGCTACTTTATTCCGTTGAAATTGGAGAAAGAATCGACGGGTAAAAGTAATTACGCTGAAATGATCACTGTAATCGACGTTCGTTTCTATTGTTTGAAGCGGCGTCGAAGAGAGAGAGAGAGAGAGAGAGAGAGAGAGAGTTCAAACTGAACAGAGTTACAATTAGGTTGGTTCTTTTTCATGTGTCGATATACTGGTCTGATCCGTTGTCCTTTCCGAGCAACCGGTGTGTGGTTTCGCCAATTTGATTGATTGCTGAACTACAGTAACTGTCGCTCTGTATCTCTCTATCCTTCCCAATTAAATTTTGCCAATTCAACTCAATTGTATTTATTTTATCTTATCGAAACAGATACAGTGATGTGTCGACTCTGGCGTGCTCTGGCGTGTGTGTGAGACAAGGAGGAACATATTTGTGTAGATTTTGTACAATCTGTATTTAATTTGTATAATCTGTAATATAAATGCACTCTCCGCGCACAATCGCACAGAGTCAAATCTTGCCGACAATTTATTGGTTTCGCGTCGCCACAAGCCGGTTATATATCAAGTACATCGATTCGTAGCGAAAGAGACTACTCGGACGCATGTCGGGAAAATAAAGAGAGATATGTTGAGCTGAATTTAATGGAAAATTTCGAGGATAAGAGAAAGAGAAACGACAGACTGTCAACCTTTGGCCGGTGAATTTAGACCGCAGACGAAAATATGGACCTGCCGAGCCGTAATGTACAGATAAAAAACGGAATGTGGTATAAAAGTGTCAGTGAAATGGGATAAAAATGGACCGGGAGAAAAAACAGCGAGGGGGGTTCTGTCGATACGATACGTAATCGGCGAACGAACTAGCAAAAGTTTTCGAAGAAAGACCGTCAGGGCTGGTAAACATGGAGAAGCTCTTGTTTCGGAGCACTGTCATTCGACAGGATTTTCGGTTCCCTCTGGTGTGAGCTTCTCGAGCTTTGTACCCGGACGATATGAAACTGAAGGGTTACCGCGCAAAAGGCAAATGTAATTTCGTTCGTTTTAGACGTCACTCTTCCACATCATCCCAGCTGCGGTTTACGATACCGCAAAAAAAGCGGCGAAGCGAAGCGAAACGAAACGTGCAAGAGGAAATACGGAGGAGATAGTAGTAGAATACGCTGCAGCCTCCGAGGGGGAAAAAAAAAAGTGAAGAATACGCGCGTGATGAGCGCAGAGTCGACAGGCAGACAGATGTAATTTATTATGTCACGAGGAAAGCCGAGACGCGTCGGGCAAATATATGGAATAATGCACCAGCCAGGATATATCTGGAATGGTAGAGTGGCGTCATTAGTATCGTTGAAGGTGCGAGTGTGCGGATGAAGAGAAGCTGGTGGTTTGCGTATTACGCGAGGAGCGCAGAGGGAGAAAACAGATGAACGCGAGTCGCGAGGGCGAAGCGAGACCTCAGCGAGACATCGAGAGTACAGCTCGGGAGGATCGCGGCGGGATAGCGACGTGAAATTTATGAACAAAGAAGAAGATTCGTCACGCGACGTGCCGAAAACGCTCGGCAACAAATGGCCGTAGAGCGAAGCTATTTGGGAAATGCGGCGGGACGGAGAGAGGAAAAGCGGCAAGGGAGGGCGAAGAGAGATGAACGGGGTGACGACGACGAGTTAGCACGGAGATGAAGACGAGGGGGAGCCCCGTATATCACGCAATTATCAGCGGAATATCTTGCTACTAAACAATGGCCACTAATTAAATTCGCGATAAATAACAGCAACGTAATATAAGTGATGCTATACTAAATAAATGATACTATAATAATAATAATATAAATAATATAAACAATACTCGATAAATAACAGTGACAGAGATACACACCGAATGAACGAAGGAAAGAATGAGGAAACACGGGTATCGTCACGGTGTGAACGCGGACAGAATCCAAAGCGTCTCGCGACGCGATCGTTGCGCACGCACGAGCGAGCCAGCAAGCCCGGTGCTCGATTTCTCGAGCCGTCGGTCCCGATGACCAGCGACAGCAGCCTCGAGGCCGGCAGGCCACCCCGTAATGCAGATATACCGGACCGGACCGGATGCGCCGTCTGCTCGCTGTCGGTCTCAGGTAAACGGAGCGAGATGAGCCGCGCGCGCGACGGAAGTGGGTGAGACGAGGACGGAACGCCACGTGACGGGAGGACGAGGACGCGACGCCGGCGCGGCAGGAACCCCGTAGGTCAAGGTCGCCGCCACGCAAGGGTGGCAGCGGCCGTACGTAACCGCCCTGAAAGCCCACTTCTAACGCCGTCGGCCAGCGAGCCGTGCGGGACGATCTTCCGACACCCCTTCGCCCCGCCGAAATCGATATACCCAGCTCCGACAGCTCTCGACCGGTCTCCTCCCGTACACAGGCGAAACAGCGAAACAGGGGTTTCGCGCGCGCACCATCCTGATGCATCACGCAATGCGGCGGCTGCAACACAATTTCGCCGCTTGCGCCCCGCCGGACATCGAGCGGCCGCGAGATGGACGCGGAGCGTCGACGCCGGCGGAAGCGGACGTGGACAAACTGTGTGTTATTCGGCGTCATTAATATATGCAAATCCCCACTGATTATTTCAGTGCTCGACTCAAACCCCGATAGCCTGAGATGCGATAAATAATCGCGCGATGCGAGGCTCACTGAGCGAAAAGTGTTTGCTGTTTGAAACTATAATCGCATCTAGCGAGAAAATCATAGTCAGAGGGAATATTTTCTTAGCGAGCGTCGCGCGCTAAGATCAATAATAATAATCTTACTCGCCACTCCTATTTCTTGGTTAGAACCGCGAGAAGATGTGGGCTGCTGGGCTGAAAATGATTTTTGCTCCCTCTCTCTCTCCCCCCCTCTCTCTCTCTCTCTCTCTCTCTCTCTCTCTCTCTCTCTCTCTCGGTGCGTGTGTACGTATCCTGCTTCGTTTTTTATTAGTTCTTTATTAGTTACATATCTAGTTCGTTATGCGCGGTTACGTTTTACATGTAAATTAGTGAAATACGGTGATAATAAAACGTTGCTCACCATGGCGGTGAACATACAAATAGTCGCGATAAAAGAAGACAACCGCCATGCCATCGCGCGATGTGACGTGATATTTTTAGGGGCTGTCGAAAAAGTCGATCGACTTCTCTTTGAGTCGTGTGTCACATAAATTGACGAGTCAAGCTCAATATAGAAAGTGCCGGTGAGCGATCGGCGGTGGAGTAACGCGCGCGCGTCGCATTACGTGATCGATATGTCGCGAATCCTTCGAGACCGATTCATATCCGGTAAATTGAATATCGGACGCGAGGACGCGCGTATAGAGCCGGCCGTTCGGTCTCAAGACGATCTAAAAATCGCCAGTCAAGGTCGCACGATCGCAAGGACAGACATACACCTCCGGGGTGACACTCGCGGAATTGTGCATCCCTCACCGCGACTGCACTCGATCGATCGTCGTCATCGGATAAAAACGGACGGTGGCTTCGAGTTGATTGCCACAGGAGATCGATTTATCCTGAGAGAGCAAGAAGAGAGAGAGAGAGAGAGAGAGAGAGAGGGGGGAGAACACCTCGCCGCTTCGTTCACGATCGATTTTCTCGAATTATCTGCGACGGGAAGAGGACTGCGACGAGTCCAAACATGCGAGAAAGCAGATACAGAAATAACACATAGTTTCTGTGAAGCGAAAGCAACACGTCTCTCTAGTGTTTTCAGCCGCTCCGTCGAAATCGGTGAGCGACTCGTTACCTTGCAGACACATTGCTAATTGCGACGATCAATGAAACCAGCGCGAAAGGGGAATACAAAAGGGGGTGATTCTCGTGGCATTACGCGCTCTGCGCGGTAGTGCCGGGTGACGAAATCAAGGCGAAACGGTGCGCTTAACTGCGGAAGATTTAGCGAGGCCGCTCGGTCAACTACTGCACGAATAAACCGTCCACGTTCAGCGAAATAAGTATGCGCATGAAATTTCCTCGCGAGAGGCGGACTTGTGAATATTCAGCAGCGAATAATACCGCCAAAGGACTTCTATTTTCAGCCGCTTCAATTGCGGGAAGCACATAAATAATTCCATCTTGAAGACGCAGTTTCAAGGTACTTCTGAAATATCTGTGCTTAAAGCAGCGCGCATAAATTCTCAAACGGGAGACAAGAAACGCGGGATATAACGGGAACGTGATTTTCTCCGTGCCGTGCGTTCCTCGCGCAAACTTTATCGCTATCGTTGTTGTTGTTGCTGTTGTTGTTGTTGTTGTTGTTGTTGTTGCCGTTGCTGTTTTCCTCTTTTTCACTCACCCTTCCGTCTGCGTAGCGTTTGCACGCCGGCGTTAATCGAATTTCCGCAGCTGCGGAATTCCGTCGCGGGTTTCGTCAGCTATAATTAAACATTGCTCGCGGCCGCGAATCGAATTCGGCCGCGAGACAACATTATCGGAGCGCATATTTATTCGTGCGGGTTTATGAAAATTGCGCGGCCGCCGTGCTCTCTCTCTCTCTCTCTCTCTCTCTCTCTCCCCCCCCCCCGAGGAATTGGAAATTTCATGAAGTTCTGTTGTTCCGCATCGCCGACACGTCACGCACACAACGTCGTCTACTGGCACTTTCGTGCCAGCCGGTTGATTAATTCAGAACCGGCTTTGACAAACGTCGCGTGTCCGTGTGCCGTGACTCACGTGTATGTGACAACGGAACGGTGGCGGGTCAACATTCAAGGATC